TTGCGCAACATAGCAGAGCCCGTGTACTCCTCACCAAGACTGCCAGCTTTGGGCTCCATTCACACACACACACACACACACACACACACACACACACACACACACACACACACACACACACACACACACACACACACACGCACATTCACACGCTCATACACCCCGACCCACCACACACATACACACACATACACACACACATACACACACATACACACACACATACACACACAAACAAACAATGAACCAACCGTGCATATCGCTGATCGCATGGGCAGGAAGTGTTGGAAGCCGTTGCAGAGCAGGCGCCGTCTTCGCTGGCCATCGCGGACACTTCGCAGCGGCGACCGCTTCATTACGCGTGCCAGCACCCAGACTTGGTGCGCAGCAGACCCATGCTGGAGCAGGGTGTTGTCTGCACCGTGCTTGAAGCTATCGTGTGCGTGTTCCGAGCAGCGCTCATCATTGGGCGGTCCTTGCTGACTCACTGAACATTCCATACACACCCTATGCGCACATGTACACCCGCACATGTACACGCGCACATGCCGTCCCCTTCCCCCCCCCTCTTTGTTTTTTTTTTTTTTTTTGAAAGGTTTCGGCTGTTGAGCGACTGGTGGAATTGGATGCGGACGGCGTTGATGCGGAGGACGAGGATGGCATGACGCCGCTCCTCATCGCATGCGCCGCCGTGAGTTCGTTTGTTGGAGGAAAGCATAGGACACACATGCGCATGCACATGCACACCCACGTGCGCGCGCACAGGGCACACACACATACACACATACACACACACACACATACACGCTCTCACTCACAACCTTTACGCCGTACACCGATTGTATGGCATCACAGGGCAACGGCGCCGCTGTTGACTGCCTGCTGTCCACAAATGCTTCTACTACGCACACGAACAAGCGCGGGGAGACGGCACTGCACCTGGCGGCTGCTGGCGGCTACTCCCAACTCGCATTCACCCTCATCGTCCGCGGCGCCCCCATCAACGCCATGTCCACGGCTCGACGTGCGTCTGCTACGTGTGTGTGTATGTGTATGCCACGTGTGCGTGTGTGCGTGTGTGCACGTGCGTGTCAGCGCAATGGTGTGATGTCTGTTCGTCGACGAAACTTCCCGCCGCATTCCTCCCTGCTCATCTGCAGCACACATCGTCCTTCTTTCCTTCCCCCTTCTCCTTTTCGATAGGAACTGCACTTGATATCGCCTACAGCGCACGCGCCGGGCCGTGTGCCGAACGCATCTTGCAGAATGTGAGCAATGCTGCAGTTGCATGGACGTGCTCAGACTATGATATCCTGGCCACCACTGCTGCTGACACGCACGCACACGCACACACACGCGCACACACACACGCACACGCACACGCACACACGCACACGCACACACGCACACGCACACACGCACACACACATTTTCAGGGTGGGCACACGGGCCAACTACTCGTGCAGCGGGCCGTGTTGATCTGCCAGACTGCATGGCGAACCTGCAACGCACTCAAACGACGTGCCATCGTCACCGAAACACCACCGTGCGTACTGCTGTGCTGCTGTTAGCACCCCCTGCTCTGCCCTTCACTGTCTTCGGGCGACCGTCACGTTTTGACGTTCTCTCTCATTCACACCGTTCCGTCGTTACGTTCAGCCTTCACCTTTCTCATTGCTGACCTTTCATCACCATGTCAACGATCCACACATAACCCCTTTGACTCCCCCCCCCCTAACAACCGTACACTCTCACACACCCAACACAGGGAGGATGCGCGCGTGATGCTGCTGTTTACGCTGCGCTGCCAGCTGTCAGTGATCAGGCGCTACTTCCGGCGCCAGGCGTGGCAGCACCACAACAGCATTGTGCGCCGCTGGGTCGGATGCTCCGTCCTCTCCGTTGACCCCAACACACCGCACAATCGCCACGAGCAGCACCAGCCACGACAGCAACGCCAACGACAACGACAGCAGCACCTGCAACATCACTCTAGTCAGGGTGAGCAGCACAGCGGGTCATTGTCCACGTCATCGGCATGTGCAAGCGACGTGTCGCCCACGTCTCCAGCAGCAACCGCGTGGTCTCCACCGAGCACTCGCTACTCCTCGTCTCCATCGTCCCGGTCGCCCTCCCACCACCACGCCCGCAGCCAGCATCACCACAACCCCCGCAACCATCATCACCAGCGTCACCAGCGTCACAAGTATGCAGATCGAAGAAGCAGAGCACGTGCTTGCAAGAGCGAGCAGGGCGCTCGCACGCTTCCTCCCATCAATCAACATCGCCGCGCAGCCCGCAATGCCCTGCATGCGTCCATGAACATGCCCTTGAACGCATCCCTGAACACGTCGCGCAACAGCAGAAAGCACTCGAGCCGTCGTGACAGCAGAGACCACAGACCACCGCCCCACAGCAACGCAACCACTACATCAGGCGGCCGAATCCCTGCAAGCATTAATCTGACAACAACAGGGACAGCGCCTGCGTGGACATTATCCACAGCGTCAACCGCAGTGTCTGGGCATGCAGAGGAGGAGGAGCACATGTTGGCAAACCTGCGAAACAAGTTGGCCGAGCAGACGCGGGCCCTGAAGCAGCTCCAGCGGGAGAACACCTTGCTCAAGACTATCAGCAAGTGGGTTGGCTGTGATAACAGCGTGTGTGTGTGCGCGTGCGCGTGCGTGTGTGTGTGTGCTTGCGTGTGTGCGTGTATGCCTGCTGTTCTGTATGTACGTTTGTTGAGTGTGCGTGGTGTGTGCGTGCTGCACGTTCTGAATATGGTTTGCTTCTTCCCAGCTATTGAGCTGATGTGTGCTTTGTTCTGTGTCGACAAGTTGTCCTACATTGCTTGCTTGCTTGCTTGCTTGCTTGCTTGCTTGCCCGCTCACCCATGCATTCACGTGTTTGTTCTTGCTTGCATTCAAATCAGAACACAAGAGAAAGTATTGATGAAGGTACATGGTGTGGACACTCGGCTTCAACAGCAGGACAAACAGGAACCAACCAAGGCTGTGGAAACATTTGGTGGGCTTGGGTGGTGTGCACGGACGTCCGCTTGTTGCTTGCATGCCCGTGTGCGTGTGTGTTCGCGCGAGTGCGCGTGTGTTTGCGCGTGCATGTGTCTGTGTGTATGTCTGTGCACGGCATTTTATACACCTTCTGTTGCAGTCTACGTCATCCCTTGAGTTCAGGTCTCACACTCTACTGATTCAAATTCACATGCGCACGCACCCACGGTCGCGCTGCGCCACAGGTCCTCCATCCAAGGACTTGAAACCGCCGTCCACGAAACTGGACCTTGAGCTTCAGCGGCAGCAGCGGCTCATCCGGAACTTTAAACAGAGGTGCTGGCGGGTGCTTTGCGCCTCACGCACACGCACACACACGCACACACACATGCACGCATACAGCGTAGCCTGCGAGTGTTGCTCCTTGGTTTTTGTTTGTTGAGTTGTTTGTTTGCTTGTTTGCTTGTGTGTGTGTCTGTGTGTCTGTGTGTCCGTCTGTGTGTGCGTGTGTGGGTGTGTATGTGTCGCGTCGAGCTGTTATGCTGTCGTGTTGTGATTCCCTGCTTCAGCTGGCGCTTTTGCTACAAGATTTTTGAGCGTCCTCCAATCGCTCGTTTCCCGGATTCACGGTGTCAGCCCAACCTTTCACATTGTTTTGTGCACAGGTTCGACACACTTCAGGCAACACTTTCAAAGAGCGAGGAGGTAAGGTCACGCAGTGACAGATCCATGTCTGTGCTTTGCGCAACACCTCTTGTCAGCACTGTCACCTGTCACACGTTTCACTCGCCCCGCTGTGACACCACGTGTGACACCAAATGCCACCCCCGTTACTCACCAATACCCTTCCCGACACCCAACTTCAGGCCGCTGCCCCACTCCCACCCAAAGTCGGACCTGACACGGATCCAGATGCTTATGCGCAACGGGCACAGCAGAAGGTGTTGCGGAAACAAATGCAGGATGCGTTGCAGGAGGTTAGGGCCCGTGTGTTTGTTGTGTGTCTGTGTGTGCGTCTTTGTTTTTGTTTGTGTGCCTGCCCGCCTGCCTGTCTGTCTGTCTGCCTGTCTGTCTGTCTGTCCGTCTACCTGCCTGCCTGTCTGGCTGTCTCTTTGCCTGTGCACGCGCGTGCCTGCGGCTTTCTGATTGTATGCACCTCTGGTTCCTCACCTTCCTGTCATTTCCTGCACTTGGGGGGGGGGGCGTTGCTTGCTTCTTCAGATTGTCAAGCTTCGATCGGATACAGAATCCCTGTCGAAGCTGCTGCAGCGTAGTGCACGCGATGACGCTGGGCAGTCCGGCAGCTTGCTTTCCACTCGTCAATGAATTCATGTGCAACTGCCCTGTCGGATGTTGTTACATTATGTTATTCGACACATCAACAGCATCTGAAGTTTGTTCGATGCATGCGACCACGGTCGGTCATGTTTATTGCGCAGCTGTTTATTTCACTGACTAAACGGATACGATACAATGGGCCGGTGGATTTCTCACTTGCCGTGGCCAGCAGACATCGCCCTCGATCACATCATGAGACATCATGAATGAAATCCGCCGAAACGCTGGATGTGCACCTATGCAATCTGGGACTCTCATCTGCCCAGGCCGAAAATTGGTTAACATGACAGAAGCGTGGTGCTGATTGCATGTGGCACCACGTTGAGAAAAGTTGTTTTGAACTCCTCAAACTATTTCCCTCCTCACTCAAGTTTATGGCCTTTCTGACGAGGACCCGATCGTCAAGCTTACATGCACTGATGAAACGTCCGTTCTCAACACCTCAAGCTATTTCCCTCAAATAAAGAATATGCAACAAACTGTAACGCTGTTCCCATCAACGCCTACCCATCTTTTCGAGACAAATTGTTTCACCCCTCGAAATGTATCCCTTATTTTCCCCTTTCCCGCGCTGTTTCCTTCATCCATCCCCTAGGGGTAATCGTTCATTTCCGTCCCACACCACCACCACCACTATGACCATGCCATCGCAGGGCGTTGATGTCTTCATCTCGCTTTGCTTCAGCGAGGCGCAGCACGCTGGCAAGGTTCTGGAAGAAGCCCTCAAGGCCCGTGGCATTGACGTATTCATCGGCGATGCTTCATCTGGAGAAGATGCGGCCAGGACGGTGGTTCGATCCTTGCATGGCTGCCGGATGGCCGTTTTGCTTGGCACACGGACGTATGGGGAGCAGACAGACAGCGACTTCAGCACCCACGAGGAACTGCAGTACATCTTGCACCACGACAAGCGGTTCTTCCTCGTGAAGATGTGTGACCAATTCGAGGAGCCGAAGGCTCAGGCCCAACTCACCGACCATGTCGTTCACTTTTCGTGGAACCCCGATGAGAGCGCGGATGTGCCTGTCGACTTGATTGACAAGATCATCGCCAAACTCGAGGTTCAGGACAACCAAGGGCTTTGTGTGTGTGTGTGTGTGTGTGTGTGTGTGTGTGCGTGTGTGTGTGTGCGTGCGTGTGTGTGTGTGCGTGTGTGTGTGTGCGTGTGTGTGTGTGCGTGCGTGTGTGCCTCCCTCTGTGTGTCTGTGTCTGTGTGCGTGCCTGTATCTGGATCCCCCTAGTGCGTGTGCCTCCCTCTGTGTGTCTGTGCGTGTGTGCGTCCTGTATCTGGATCCCCCCCCCCCAGTTCTTTCTCGTTGTTGCTCTTGTTGGGGATATGTTTTGGTTCTCTCTGCTGTATTTCGTGTTTGGTCGAGTGACACCTTGCCTCTGTCTGAGTTGTAGCAACAACGATCCCTCACTGGACCTTGCCTTTTTTTGTCACCGCATCAACCCTGGTAGACGGTACCTGAGACGCCAACAACAACTGCGCCCCAGCTGCAGCTGCATCACCATGGCGATGGCGGACTGCCGCCCCCCAATATCCACAAGATGGGCAAAGCAGAAGCCGCTGTGCTCCTTCTCGACCGTGCCGGCTGCGCACCCGGGGACTACGTGGTGCGGCGAACCAAATCCGACAACCAGCTCGCCATCAGCCTTGTATGTTTGGAATGGGTGGTGCCTTTGTTTGGTTTGCTGCTGTGCCTGAGCACCTCCGCTTGTATGTAACTGTGTTGCGGCGTGTGTCAAGAAGCCACCCACCGAAGTATTCACAACGCCAGTGATGATGACCCTCTCCTTGACACATGTCCATCTTTCCACTCCCAGGTTATTGGGGAAGACAAGGTCGAGCACCATGCACTATCCCAGGATGATACTGGGCTCTATGTTCTCGACAAGAAGCTGCTGCTGCAGCCGGACAGCCTTGAGACTGCGCTTGACCATCTTTCAGCCAACCAAGAGACAATGTCACACACGGTACGCCACATGTATTTGCCGCTGCAATTGCTGCTGATGCGACACCATCCCCACATATTGCCCCACCACTTTACCTACCTGACTACCTGATGCGTTCATAAAAGCTCGATTCCTGACCCCAGCTCCACGCACATACCACACGCGTACATATCACATTCTGCTCAGCTGCAGTGCAGAATCGAGCAAGTCACGCCAGCTGGCCAGCAGAAGAAGGCCACGCTTCCCGTCGTTGCCGTTGCACATGACCCAGTCACCGAGACAGCACTGAGCAGCGCTACGCTTGCTACCACGCAGAAAGAGCCGCAAGTTCAGCAGCCAACGCACAACAAGCTAACCAGCAACAACACTTTCAACACGGGGTCATCTTCCTCGTCGTCGCTGAAGATGAAGCATGCACCCGCTGACCTCAAGTCGTTTGGGCTGGAGACTGGTGGCACGGTTGAATTGAAGCACGGGACGCGCTGGAGGAGCAAGACTCTCTTGGCGATGCTGTTGATCGCTGTCATCGCCAGTGTAGCCGTACCAGTCTCCGTGCTAACAATCGCGTCCAGCAGCAAGAGCAAGTCTTGCGTGAGCAACGTCACCCTGGACTGTGCGAACCCCGTCTCCCGGCTTGAATTCGTCGCAAATGCATTTTGCACCGCTGCCTCCGTCGTGAACTGCTGCTGCGATGAGTTTTACGCCTTGAACAGCGTCGCAGGATCCGTATCCCTCAACACCTCCCTTTCCTCGCTTCAGTTTGGATCAGTTGTGCATGTTGGCGGCGATGTCGTTGGCAGCGGAGGCTCGCTGGTGTCAGTTGACTTTGGAAACTTGACGTCCGTCGGTGGGACCGTGGCCCTGAACGACAACAGCATTACTGCGATCAACTTCGGCTTGCTGGCAAACGTTGATGGCGACCTCGACATGAGCAACAACAGCATCACCAGCATTGACTTTGGTGTTGTGACAAATGTCACCGGCAACATTGACATGAGCGACAACAGCATTTCTTCCCTTCTCCTTGGCCTACTCTCAGCCGTTGGTGGCGACCTCGACATGAGCAACAGCAACCTGACGAGTATCGACTTTGGCGCTGTGACAACTGTTGGCGGCAGCGTTGACATGAGCGACAACAGCATTTCTTCCCTTCGCCTTGGCCTGCTCTCAGCCGTTGGTGGTGACCTCGACATGAGCAACAGCAACCTGACGAGTATCGACTTTGGCGCTGTGACAACTGTTGGCGGCAGCGTTGACATGAGCAGCAACCCAATGCGTGTCATTGACCTTGGGTCACTGCAGGATGTCGGTGGTGCGGTGAAGTGGGCTGGTGATCCGTTTGGTATCGAGAGTGGGCGTGTGGTGGACAACGTGACACTGATCGATGATGATGTGCTGGAGGTGTTTGACTTTGGGGGCGGCATCACAGCCGTCGACGGGTGCATCAGCTTCACCTCCGTCAGCAACCTGATTAGCGTCAACTTGGGCGGCATCAGCAGAGTGGATGAGTGCATCAACCTCACCTCCAACAGCAACCTCACGAGCGTCAATTTTGGCATCGTGGCGACGGTCGGCAGTTATGTTGACGTCAGTGGCAACAGCATCTCATCCCTTCGCCTCGGTGCGCTGACAGCGATTGGTGGGGACCTGGACATGAGCAGCAACCCAATGCGTGTCATTGACCTTGGGTCACTGCAGGATGTCGGTGGTGCGGTGAAGTGGGCTGGTGATCCGTTTGGTATCGAGAGTGGGCGTGTGGTGGACAACGTGACACTGATCGATGATGATGTGCTGGAGGTGTTTGACTTTGGGGGCGGCATCACAGCCGTCGACGGGTGCATCAGCTTCACCTCCGTCAGCAACCTGATTAGCGTCAACTTTGGCGTCGTGAAAAATGTCACTGGTGACATCGACATTAGCGACAACAGCATTTCTTCCGTCCACCTCGGTCTGCTGTCAGCTGTCGGCGGCGACCTGGACATGAGCAGCAACCCAATGCGTGTCATTGACCTTGGGTCACTGCACGACGTTGGTGGCGCAGTGAAGTGGGCCGGTGATCCGTTTGGTGTCGAGAGTGGGCGTGTGGTGGACAACGTGACACTGATCGATAATGATGTGCTGGAGGTGTTTGACTTTGGGGGCGGCATCACAGCCGTCGACGGGTGCATCAGCTTCTTCTCCAACAGCAACCTGACGAGTGTCAACTTTGGCAGTATCGAGAACGTTGTCGAATACGTCGCATTCGACAACAACGATGCCCTCCCCCGCATCGACTTCGGCAAGGTCCTTACCAGCGTTGGTGGGTGCATCTCAATCTCGTCCAACAACATGCTGGCCAGCATCGACTTCGGTGTCATCACCAGCGTTGGTGGCTGCATTGACTTTGAAGCGAATGGTGCCCTTCCAGTCATTGACTTTGGCAGCATCCTCACCGATGTGAGTGACTACGTCGAGTTCAGCGCTAACAGCGCGCTGACCAGCGTTGACTTTGGCAGCATTGCCCAGGTGGGCGGTTACATCTTTTTCGACGACAACGATGCGCTGACCAACGTTGGCTTTGGCGGCGTCACCAGTGTCGGTGGCCACGTCAAGTTTGATGACAACGACGGCCTTCCACTAATTGACTTTGGCAATGTGTTCACGCTTGTGGACGACTATGTTGAGTTCAGCAGCAACGGTGCATTGGCCAGCGTGAGCTTCGGCAATATCGCCGACGTTCATGGTCACATCTACTTCAACGACAACGACGACCTCACCAGCATTGACTTTGGCAGCACCACTCAAGTGGGTGATTACATACAGTTTGACACCAACGATGCCCTGCCCAGCGTCTATTTTGGTGACATTTCCCTGGTCACTGGCCATGTCTTCTTCTACGACAATGATGCGCTGACCAGTGTTGACTTTGGCAGCATCACCAACGTGGGTGGCTACATCAAGTTTGATGACAACGATGGCCTTCCATTGGTCAGCTTTGGCGAGACTTTCAAGTACCTTGGTGGCTACATTGAGCTTCGCAGTAACGATGCCCTGACCAGCGTCGACTTTGGCAGCGTGACCAGTGCTGACTACGTCCTCTTCGACGACAACGACGCCCTGACCAGCGTCGACTTTGGCAGTGTGACAAACGTTGACAGACACGTCTACTTCTTAGACAATGACGGCCTCCCATTGATGGACTTCGGGGGCACTCTCACCAGAGCGGGTACAATTGAGTTTCGGACCAACGACAACCTGACCAGCATTGATTTCGGCAGCATCACTAAGGTCCACGGCGACATCCGTTTCCTTCAAAACAGTGCCTTGGCCAGCATTGACTTTGGCAGTATCACCAATGTGACCGCATCCATCACCGCTGTGATGAATAGCGCTCTCCCACTTGTGAACTTTGGGGGCACGCTCACTGCTGTGGGTGGCTTTGTGAACATCGAGACAAACGCTGCCCTGACAAGCGCAGACTTCGGCGGTGTCACGACCATTGGCGGTTATGTCCGATTCTACAACAACGACAACCTGACCAGTGTTGATTTTGCCAGCATCACCAGCATTGCCCAACACATCAAATTTGACGACAATGACGCCCTCCCGCACATGGGCTTCGGCGACATCCTCATCAACCTGGGCGGATACATTGAGTTTGTCAGGAACTCACGCCTTGTCAGTGTTGACTTTGGTAACACCCTTACCGTTGTGCCTGTGTACATCTCCTTTCTCTTCAACAACAAGCTTGACAGCGTCGACTTTGGCGCAATCACCAATGTGACTGGGGACATTACCTTCAGCAACAACGCCGTCCTCCCCAGCGTCAGCCTTGGCGCAATCATTCGCGTCGAGGGTAACCTCAACTTCCTTTCAAATGCCGACCTGACCAGCGTTGACTTTAGCGACATTGTCAGTGTGAAGGGTACTGTGACTTTCGCAGCCAACGATGCCCTGCCCAGCATCAGCTTTGGCAACGCTCTCACTTATGTGGGTAGCGCGGTTTTGTCCTCGAATCAAAACCTGACGAGCATCGACTTTGGCGGCATCAAGGAGGTCGGCAACGACTTGAAATTCCACGACAACGACGCTCTCCCCCGCATCAACCTCGGCGACATCCTCGCTGAGCTTAGCGGGTGCGTCTTCGTGGACTTCCATGACGCCCTGACCAGCTTCGACTTTAGCGCCGTCACCAACGTGGCTGGCTGCATTGAGCTCAAAAACAACGTTGCCCTAACTGACATTGACTTTGGCAGCGTGACCACTGTCGGAGGGCACGTTCAGATAGACACAAACTATGCGCTGACCAGCTTGGACTTTGCTAACATTAACCTCGTGGATCAACACGTGCTCTTCCACGACAACAACAAACTGACCAGCGTCGACTTTGGCGTCATCACCCAAATCACCACTTATGCCAAGTTCGAGGACAATGACGCCCTTCCACTGATTGACTTTGGCAGCGCCCTCACCAATGTGGGTGACTACGTCGAGTTTCTCGACAACGATGCGCTGAGCAGCGTCAACTTTAGCAGCATTACTTTTGTCCGCACACACATTAAGTTCGACATCAACAATGCGCTGACCAGTGTCGACTTTGGCAGCATCACCAGCCTCGAATCCATCACTTTCGACAACCATGTCGCCCTTTCGTCGGTGGACTTTGGCAGCTCACTGACCAGCATTGACGAGGCCAAGTTCACCGATAACAGGGCGCTGACCAGCATCAACTTTCGCAACATCCGCACCTTCGATAACATCCTCTTTGGCAACAACAATGCACTGCCCAGTATCAACTTTGGTCTGATCACAAATGTCGAGGGTGGTGTCGCTTTCAAGGACAACGATGCGCTGACCAGCGTCGACTTTGGCAGCATCACGGCTGTGGGTACCTCCATCGAATTTAGCGGCAACGGTGCGCTGACCAGCGTCGACTTTGATAGCATCACGACTGTGGGTGCCTTCGTCGAAATTAGAGCCAACGGTGCGCTGACCAGTGTCGACTTTGGCAACATCACCACGGTACAAACTTTCTTGCAGTTCAGCGACAACAGTGGCCTCCCGTCAATCGACTTTGGCAGCGTTCTCACCACTGTGGGCGCTGTTAGCGTCATGGACAACAGCGTTCTGACTAGTGTCGATTTTGGTGCCGTCGAGGCCGTCGACAACACGATACTCATTGCCAGGAACGCCAAACTTGCTGGCATTACTTTGAACAGTCTCACCAATACATCTGGCGCTGTCGAAGTCGTGCAAAACAATGCGCTTACTTCTCTCAGCTTCCCCGCTCTAACCCGTACCGGCAGCTTCCGCATCACTTCACAGCCTGCCCTCACCACCATTGACTTTGGTGCCATCAGCACTGTGGACGGCGATATTGCAGTGGGCGGAAATGAGGCCCTCACCAGCATCAGCTTCGGCAGCATTACCAGCGTGACTGGAACCGTTTTCCTTGGACACCTGGCTTTCGGCAGCAATAATCTCACCAGCGTCGACTGTCAGGACTTCACTGCCACATGCGTGAACAACTACGACAGCATCATCCTCACCAATTGCCCTGCCGAATGCATATGAGGGGCGCCGCTCGGCTCGCCGACTGGCATTCCACCAAGCAGTCCGGCCTTCATTCTTGCGCCAAGGGCTATGTGCCCTGGCCTTTCATCCGTTTCCAGTGCCCTCTTTCCAAGCGTGGCAACCAACATATGCTTTGATCTACAACCGATGACGTGCTTGACCAACAGCACTCCAGTGTTCTGTCCCCACACGAGTCCTCCGTTCTGCTACCTCGCTTCTTGTCGATCGATGCACCTGCGGTGCATGGATTTGTTCCTAGCTTTCACCCCATCCCGCCTCAAATGCCTGAATGCATGTCACCCTCTTTTCATCGCGCCTCTCTCTGCCATGTGTCCGCTTCCTTCCTCTTCGGAAAGGAATTCCACTGTTTGGTTGTGTGTGTGTGTGTGTGTGTGTGTGTGTGTGTGTGTGTGTGTGTGTGTGTCTGTGGCTGTGGCTGTGGCTGTGGCTGTGTGTCGCCAGAGTTGCTGATCTGCTTTGCCACGTGTCCATCGCGGTCGTGATGCCGAACACAGCCCAATACAAATACCAATGAAGCAAGCCTAAATACAATGACAGGTAGATACCACAAGCTCTTCGCTGTGGCAAATGGGTAGGCTGTGATCGCTGCTTATCATTGCCCACTGCGTGCTTTTTTAGTCATCTCCTCGATAAACTGTCCGCTGTATGATGTATGTATTCGGCTGGGCCAAGTTGAAACGTATTCACAACCAACCACCAACAACAAAGGCAAGCACAAGCAACCATTCAACACAAAACACAGCGAATACGACCACAACGAGCATTCACAGGAATTAGGCAATGCGACATGCCGTCACAGCACGACAGCCACAACGATGAGTCAAAGAGAAGACAAAGACGAAGGAATGACGACATACACAAAGACATGCTGGACTTGGCCGCTCAGGCAATGATCTTGGAGACGATGCCCGTGCCGACAGTCTTGTGGCCCTCGCGCACAGTGAAGCGCTGGCCCTCCTGTGTTCACAGAGCATTGATGATGTAAGTGGGAAGGGGGTGGTGGTTGATGAGTTTGAGAGGCAAGGATGAAAGAGGGTTGGTACGGAAGCGCCATGCAGGCAGGACGCAGCATCCCACGAGATGTAGCAGTGCAAAAAGCGAACAAACACAAGCAAACACATTCAGCAGGGCAAACGAACACACACACACACACACACCTCGAGCGGAATGTCGGTGATAAGCTCAATCTCGCAGCTTGCGTCCTCGCCAGGCATGACCATCTTGCCATCAGGCAGCTTGACCGTGCACGTAATATCGCCAGTGCGGGTGAACAGCTGGGGGCGGTAGCCATCAACAAACGGCGTGTGGCGGCCACCCTCCTCCTTGCTCAGCACGTACAGCTGTGTCTGAAACTTGGTGTGGGACTTAACAGTACCGGGCTTGCACATGACCTGATTTTTGTGGACATACATGCACGCGCACGATGGGATGCATTGTGAGCACATGCCATGAAGTGGCTCTGCGCACAAGTAGAGTACATGTAGCGCTGCTCCGACTGAAACTGCAAAAGGTCATCACGCCAAACACGCCAAACACCAGCGCACAGGCAAACGTGTGTGTGTGTGTGTGTGTGTGTGTGTGTGTGTGTGTGTGTGTGTGTGTGTGTGTGTGTGTGTCGTCGTCACTGACCTGGCCCTTGCGAATCTCCTCGCGCTTGAGACCGCGGCAGAGCGCACCGAGGTTGTCGCCAGCCTGACCTTGATCCTGGCACGCAAAAACAACCACATGCAGCACGTGGTAGCAATCGTTGCGATGGCGACGTTAGCGGCTGTCATGGCTGACGTATAAGTGACAGCAAGCGGAAAAAAGCTAAGAAGAACAACAAGAACGCAGGGACAGCAATCACCAAACACACACGCACAAACACCCCCCCACACACACACACCAAACTCACGAGCTGCTTGTGGAACATCTCCACACCGGTGACGGTGGTCTTGATGGTGGAACCGTAGCCAATAATCTCAACCTCATCGCCCTTGTTGATCACACCGCGTTCAACCTTGCCCGTGACAACAGTACCGCGGCCAGAGATGGAAAAGGCGTTCTCGACAGGCATCAGGAACGGCTTGTCAAGATCGCGCTCAGGGTCAGGGATCCTATCCACCAAGACAGGGGGGGAGAGGGTGTGTGTGTGTGTGTGTGTGTGTGTGTGTGTGTGTGTGTGTGTGTGTGTGTGTGTGTGTGTGTGTGTGTGTGTGTGTGTGTGTGTGTGTGAGCATGGGTGTGTCCGAGTGGGTACCGAACCAAATGGGACAGGAGAACACGACACAACCAAACACACACACACGCACGCACACAGTATGCAGAGGAGGACTTGCAACTAGACGCACCACTCATCAACAGCGTTCATGAGAGCCTTGATTGAGTCCTTGCCAATCTTGTCGTCCTTACCCTGGGAACGCAACCCAATTGAACTTGTGTAAGTGCATCAACACAACATGACGGTCCATTGGCATAACACCATCTCACTGTCAACCATTCAACAGGCCCAAAAACAAGCCAACAACACAACACGACACACAGAGTGCGAGCAGAGCATTGCTTCTTCCAGCCGACCTCAATAGCGCAGAGAGCAGAGCCGGTGACAACTGGGGTCTCATCGCCATCGTAACCGTAAGAGGACAGCAGCTCACGAATCTCCATCTCGACCTGTGTGTGAATGCATGTATGTTGGGTTGGAGCACGATCACATTGCACGCACGACAGAAGCAGTGAGCACAGCCTCTGTAGATACGAAAAAAATCAACAGCTATCTTACGCTGCTTTCTTTCTTGCACCCCTTACAACAACAACAACAACAACAACAACAACAACAACAACAACAACAACAACAACAACAACAACAACAACAACAACAATAATAACAACAACAACAACAACAACAACAAAGCGGTATCAGCAGTAACAGTGGTGTTGTTGGCGCACCAGTTCGAGAAGCTCCTCGTCGTCAACCATGTCCGCCTTGTTGATGTAGACAACAATACGCTCAACGCCAACCTGCTTGGCAAGAAGAATGTGCTCGCGGGTCTGGGGCATCTGGCCATCAGTGGCGCTGACAACAAGGATGGCACCGTCCATCTGCCAAAAGACCATCGCCAAACACAGGGACGGCGCATGTGTGTGAGTGTGTGCGTGTGTGTGTGCGTGTGTGTGCGAGGGTTGCGTCAGCGTCCATGTGTGCAACGCCCAAACCACGAGTTAAGGAATGAACGCAGGCATGCGGCCTCCATGCAGCTCACGAAAAAGCGTGAAGAGATAACACAGTGGTGTTGAACACATGTTCACACCTGGGCAGCACCGGTGATCATGTTCTTGATGTAATCGGCGTGGCCAGGGCAGTCGACGTGGGCATAGTGGCGCTTGTCAGTCTCGTACTCGACGTGGGCAGTGGAAATCGTGATACCGCGGACACGCTCTGTCATCGGCGGTGGTGTTTCATGATGGAGGGGGGGGGGGGAGGCAAAGGGTAAGAGCAGTGTTGCTTGCTTGGAAAAAGCCGACACTACAGCGTGTGGCAGGTGGCAAAATTGGAAGCAGCAGTGGTCGTGCAGCCAAGGGAACACAGGGCAACCGCAACTCGGACACAAATAAACATCCACAAACAAGAAAGCGCGGACAAGCAGGTACACAGGTAAGCGCAGAAAAAGACAAGCACGCACATCCCCTCCACACATACGCACGCATACACACATGCACGCAGAGTCGCTCACCCTCAGGAGCCTTGTCAATGTTGCTGTAGTCAGTGTACTGAGCATGGCCCTCCTCGGACAACACTAATGTGGTGGTGCAGGTCAGCAACATGGCAGAGCAGAGGTGAACGCACGGAAGCATGCATAGATACGCCGGCACGCACGCACGCGCGCACAGCACATTGGTGAGCGGAATACGTGGGTGAGGTGCAGGCAGAAGCAAGCAGCAGCGGGCATGGGAGGACTGTGGCTGCAACGGCAAGTTGGGAGCCGCAAGCAGTACGAGCAGCGCACATGCAGGCCTTGCTTGCTTGGCTGGCAACTCACCCTTGGTGATGGCAGCTGTGAGGGTGGTCTTGCCGTGATCGACGTGACCGATGGTACCGATGTTGACGTGGGGCTTCTCACGAACAAACTGGGACATGCAGCGCACTGCAAGTGCACGCACGCATGTGCAGGGTTGTGTGGTTGTGCACGTTTGGTGTGTTGTACGTTAAGAGAGAGTGTGTGTATGAGTGTGTGCGTGCGTGTGAGTGCATGACAGAGTGTGCTATTGGCGTGTGGGACCACTCGTGTGTGTATATATGCGTGCACCATGCGGGCGCAACATGTTGTACACATGTGTGAGCGCTCACTGCTCTGTTTGTTATGTTAGCTTGCATGACCGCTGCCCCGCCTCGCAGCAAGGAGCTCTGCACTGGCATATGCAGTGCTCTCCGACGACAGGAACCCATGCGCGGCGTTCGTGCAGTTCGTACACACTTACCAAGCGGGTTGACGGCAGTGGTCTGACGAACAGACGCGGTCACCTGCCGGCCGACCAGCTGGAAGAGGGAGCGAGTTGCTGTCGCCATGGTGCAGACGAGCTCAGCTATCCTATGCACAAGTGTGATGCGTGTTTGTTTTGGAACAAAGGTGAGAAGAGTGGCAGCGAGCACACAGCGAGCACACAGCGCATGGCCGAGACGAAGGCCGCACCACCATCACCCTACACGCATGACCCCCACAACCACACACAGACACACACACACACACACACAACCACACACACACACACACACGCACGCATACACACACGCACACACACACACAACACCACAGCAGTTCTTGCGTCGCCCAACTCCCACTCACGTGTACAACCGGAAACAAGGCAGGGGAGAAGTAGATTCTTCACCAATGTTTTCCTATGTTTGTCACTGAGCGCAAGTGCGCGAAACTCGATTTTTTTTTGTCTGTGCTCTGAAAAACTTGTGGTGTTGTTTGCGGAGACTGAAACCGACCAACGACACAGAAGATGGCGGATGTGCCTGTTGTGAAGCAGGGTGGCTGGGGCGATGAGAGCAAGGGAAAGACCACACGGTGCGCAACGCTGCATGTGTGTGCTTGTGTGTTCTTGCGTGTGTGCTTGTGTATGCGAGCTTATGTGTGTGTGTGTGCTTATGTGTGTGTGTGCTTGTATGTGTGTGTATGTGTGATTTTGGCAATGGCCTCCCTTGGATGATTCTTTTTTCAAGCACAACGCACGTTAAGCACATACATGCCTCTGAACACTGCTTTCTCTTCGCTGTGATGGTATTGTAGGAGGAACCGCGGCGAGTCGGCTCCCGAGGAAGAGTGCGTTGCGCAGTGTGTGTTGATGTGCCAACGCCGTTGCTTTCTTCTTTTCTGATGCGCCAACATGCCCACGCCATGACACACACACACACACGCACACATGTACACGCACATGCACAAGCACACACATGCACGCACACGCAAGCACACACATGCGCGCACATGCAAGCACACACATGCACGCACACACACACACACACAAATACACAAGCACGCACACACAAGCACACCCACGCCGAGCCGCACATGTCGTTTGTTGTACTCACCAGCGATGTTTGCATTCACTCTGCGTCATTGTTAGTGAGCGGCTGAAGATGACAGTTCCTGTGGAGGAAGACTCTGACGATGGTGAGTTGCTGTGCTCTCTGTGTGCACATTTGCATGCAAGACAATTGTGATTGCCCCCACGTCTTGCCCAAGCGGACCTCACCCTTTCCCGTTCTACCAACCCCCGCACATGACGACTCAGACATTCCCGAGATCCCGGAGCTGCAGGATCAGGTGGAGGAAGAGGAAGACATCACCACAAAGGTTGCTGAGGCGCCCACCGCAAACATCCAAATGGCGACCATGGCAGACCTGGACAAGGAACTGTCCAGCACCCTCTCCTTCACACAGGTGTGTTGACCCCAGCCTTCGCTTCCTGCTTGCCTCAGATATGTCGGTTATGTTTGACCCCGATCATGCATCTATGCTCGTGTCAGAGCGTCGTCGTTGGGCCATCAAGCTTTGAGGCTCGCACGCGTGCACCCACGCACACCACTGCACACAATACGCTCACATCGCATTCTTTTCTGTCACCATGCATCCAACGTCCACCACCAGACGGACTCTGGCGTCGACCTGAAGCTCCTTATCAACAATCTCACACCAAGCCACCTCCTCAAAGAGGTCAGGTGTCAACAAAGAAGCGCAACCCACACACAGAGGCACAAGAGAAAGAGAGAGAGAGAGAGAGAGAGAGAGAGAGAGAGAGAGAGAGAGAGAGAGAGAGAGAGAGAGAGAGAGTGTGTGTGTGTGTGTGTGTGTGTGTGAGTGTGTGAGTGTGAGAAAGAGGGTGTGTGTGGGGGAAAGAAAGAGAGACAGACAGACAGACAGACAGACAGACAGACAGACAGACAGACAGACAGACAGACAGACAGACAGACAGACAGTCACACACATACACACACACGCACACACAAATGCTAGCTGCGCCTGTTTGAGATATGCTCACATGTATGACCTTGCTCTGTCACATGTCGACACACAGGAGGACAAAGAATGGGACTTTGTACACGTGTTCACGGAGATCAAATCAGAACTTGCGGCAGAAGAGGAGAAGAGCAAAAAGGACGAGGCATCATCAAATGACCTCCTCGACAACCCAATGGCCGCCATCTGAGTCGTGACACGCAGCTGTCCGTGTGTGTGTGTGTGTGTGTGTGTGTGTGTGTGTGTGTGTGTGTGTGTGTGTGTGTGTGTGTGTGTGTGTGTGTGTGTGTTTGTGTGTGGAGGGAGGGTACCAGGAGTGCGATATCTTTCTTCTGTCGTTGAGTGTGCGTGAATTAGTGTACACCACAGCGTTACGTTTCGCACCACTCGTGTGCTGTCTTTGTGTTGATTGATTTCGTTTCATGGTGGTGTCGTTGAGCCTTTGGATCATGGGTATGCTGTTCACGCGCCACGACCAAGCACATAAAACCACAACAACAACAACAACAGCAACAACAACAACAAGAAAAGCCACACACACACACACACACACTGCAAAACAACTTTGCCCAACAGGTACCGCGAGCCCTCCTATGAACCACAACCACCATCTTGAACACCACGCCAGATGTGCTCGCACTCAACATGCACACAAACACACTAGCATGCGCACGCACACACGGAGACACAGACAAACTCTACATTTCACATCACACACACACACACACTCAAACACACACACACACACACTCACTCTCTCGCTCACTTTCTCGCTCACTTTCTCACTGCTTGAACATGAGCTGGGCCTCCTACTAAGTTGGCTGCGCTGTCGTGCGCATGTGCGATCAAATTGGGACAAGCGGTGCATCGTCGTCATCGTCACCACTGCTGCTGCTCCCAGTGCTGATCAGCGCCGTCTTGTTCTGCGCAGTGGCTGCTGTGGCCGATGGCGTTGCTTTCGCCGCCATAAACGACGCCTCGCGTGTGCCACCACTGCCACTGCCATCGCCATGGTCACTGTCGTCATCGCTGTCGTGTGCGCCAATGCCAAACAGGGCCTCCTCTTCGCTGCTCGAGTCCGAGAACAGGTGCTCCTTCACGTTGGACTGCAGCTTCACGTAGGAGGTGCCGCTGCCACTACTGCTACCACCGCCGCAGCAGGACAGGAGGGATGCGCGCTGGCCAGGCTTCATAATCAGGTACGTCCCCGTCACAACAACGATCAGCACAATGATGACCACCGCAGCAACAACGCCCTTCTTCTTATGGCTGCCGCTGCTGGTGTCTGTGCCGTCGTGCGCACCGCTGTGTGTGGTGTGTTGCGCCGCCGTACTGCCCTCACCGTGCGTGCCCGGTGCGTGTGTCGTGCGCACATCTTCGCAAGGGTTCTGGCCAGGGCACACACGACACGTCTCCCACTCAATCTGGTACACGCAGCCCGTCGAGCGCACAAGCGTCGGCGACTGCAGCAATGAAGGCAGGACGGAAACAAGCCAAACGGGAAGAGAGGGGGAGGAAGTCGACAGGTGAGTGTGGAACATGATGGGTTGGAACATGTAGGCAGAGGGCGCATCGCTGAAACAATGCAGAATGGCCACGGGGTGTATGCAACATGCACAGGGTAGAGTGCAACACACATGCCCCACAAAGCATGACGACAGCATACACGTGTGAACGTCACAGAGAACACAACACCACACTACACAACAGAACAAGACACACACACGCACACAACAACAACAACAACAACATACAACATACAGCACACAGCACACAGCACACAACAACACACCTCACCGCACAAACACAACATAGGATATGCCACACACCTTTGGCTTGGAGGTGTCGGCGGGACACACGAAGATAATCTCCACGCTTGCGTGTGACCCATGAGGACACTCGCCACCGGTGTACATGAGGTGCACCTGAGGCTTATCTTGCATCATCTCTGGTTGGGTGTCCTCCGTGTAAAGCCCAAGCGCATAGTGCTCGTTGCCAATGGTCAGACATGCGCCCGCGTTGGACGGGCAGCCGGCACGACTCACGCCGCGGCACACATTAAAGTCAATCTGCCCATCGTCCGTCTTCACGGTGATGGCGCCGTCCACAGACAGCGGGCTCAGGTCATACTCCCACCCCTTCTCGTGCGTGTTGTCCTTGACAATGCACTGGCGTGGCGCAAGGCCACACGCAGCTGGCGTGCGCACAACCATCCCGTACGAGCACGTGTGCTCCTCGTTCACAGACACCAACGACGATGTCTCGCTCGTACCGTCCTCCTGATTGGCGTTGAGGTGAACAACAGCGGGGCGAAAGAAAAGAGCGGGGGGGGGGGGGTCGGGGTTAGAATGAGCCATCACGACAAAACAAAACCAACAAACGATTGAACAACATTAATAAAATCACAGCTCTCAACCACCAACCAACCACACACCCACACACCCACACCCACACCCACACCCACCCACCCACACACACACACACACACGAAAGCACGCACCGGGCATTCGAAAGTGATAAAGGCCTCGCGGTCCTGGCCAATGGACGGGCAGCGGGTGCCGCCAGTCAGGTGCATGGACACAGCACCATCGGAGACGGTGACAGACTTGGACGACCCAAGCGAGAACTCATCGCTGCCTGCGCGCTGGCACGCGTAGGAGCGCGTGTTGCCACAGGAGAAGGTGGCACACGGGTTGAACGAGTAGCGCATGCTGCGGTCGTCCGTAAACTCCAGCAGCGACGGCGAAATGGTCGTCAGGTCCACCACGGCACCAGTCACGGCATCCTCAAACACGCATTTGTCCGTGTTGTGGTCCGGCTCTGTGTTTACGGGACAGGCCGCAGACGTCTCCCACAAAATGTTGTAGTGGCAGTCATCCTCGTGGTCGAAGCGGGGCGTGCCGAGTGGCTCGCCGCTCCCGTCGGGCTTCTTGCACTCAAACGTCACGGTGGTGGTGCGGGGCTTGCCGTTGCACGGCGTACCGCCCTCCAGCACCATCTGCAGCTGCCCGCCAACGAACTTGGGCTCCGCCGGGTGGCCGAGGTCGTAGAAGCCGTGCGACTCCGCAGACCACTGGCACGCGCCCGCGTTGCCGGAGCAGTTGCGGGCCTGACCCGTGCGAATCACGTTGTGGCACACGTTGAGCACGTACGTAAACTCGTCTGCCTGCGCCGTGTTGTCCACCATCCAGTTGCCGTCCAGGCGCTTCAGTGCAGACAGGTCGTACTCACGCCCCTTCTTGTCCGTCACCACGCACTCAAAGTCCGTCTGCCGCTCACACACGTGTGCTGTTGGCCAGCGGAACACGTAGCTGCAGTCCTCAAGCTCGTCAACAAACACGGGGGCGCCGTCGCCCGCCGTGGAGTCGCACACAAACTCAATGTATGTGGAGCGCTGGAACTTGTGGTTGTGACACGCCTGCCCGTGCACGTACTCGAGCGCTACGCCCGCGTCCGTCACAAACGGCTTTGCGTTGATCTCGCCCAAGTTGTACGAGTACGTGCGAAGGTCCTGCTTCAGCTGGCACGCGCCAACTTTGCTGTCGTCTGCACAGCCCGAGAAGCTCTCACGGATCGGCGCACTGCACACGGCCAGCTCGTACGTGTACCCGCCAGCCTCGGCGCGGGCCAGCGTGCCCTGCAGAGGCGACAGGTCAAACACGGTGCCCGTCTCCTCGTCGGTGACCTGGCAGTTGGACCCGGCCTTCTGCTTGTACTCGCACACCACCGACGTCTCCCACACAAACTGGTACTCGCACTCGGCCGTCTCGCCAACAAACACGGGGTGCCCGAGCGTGCCCTCCTTGCAGGTGAAGGTGATGGATGCGCTGCGCGTGAACTGCCCGTGGCACTTGGTCTCGTACGAGTGCGGCAGCGAGTAGCGCAGCACCACGTCGCCGTTTGCGTCAAACTCGGGCTCGTGCATGGCGTACCCGCCGGAGTACGCCGCCCCGCTCTCCGTCATCTGGCACACGCCCGACCCGCGGCACACCTCGCTCAGCACGCCCGAGTCAATCTGCGAGGGCACGAGCGGGCGGCACACGTTGATGTAGAAGTTAAATCCGCTCGAGCCTTCCTCGTCCTCCGCCGCGTCACGTGCCAGCCAGTTCTCGTCCAGCTCGTTCGATCGCATCAGCTCGTCAAGGTGGTACACGCGGCCCGTCTCGGGATCGGCAATGGAGCAGCCGAGTGGGCGGTGCGGGATGGCCTGGTTCGGGCACACCGCGTCCGTGTACCACGTAAACTCGTACTCGCACGTGTCTGTCTCCGCCACAAAGACGGGGCCCTGGCGCGCCTGGTTCCGCTCGCACTTGAACGTCACGCGCGACGTGCGCTGCTTCTGGCCACACGCGCTGCCATCCTCGTACTCCAGCACCACCTGGTCAGCGTGGCCCTCCTCAAGCACGGGCCGCCGCGTAAACTGGCCAAGCGACCACGCGCTCTCGCTGTCACTCTGGCACACAGAGGCGGACAGGCCGTCCGTGTTGCGGCACGGCACGGTGCCGCACGCGGCCACGTGGTACTCGTAGTCCTCGCCGTCGGCTTCGTTCTCCACGTCCGCCTTGGCTGAGCCCAGCGTCGTGAGGTCAAACCGATCGTACTCGTTCGACACAACGCAGTCGTCCCGCGTCAGCGTGCCGGGTGCGGCGGTGGTGGTCGTGTCGCTGCCAGAGGCACCGCCGGGCCCGCACGCAAGCTCTGTCTCCCACACGATCAAAAACTCGCACGTCTCGCGCGTGGATGGCGATACGAGCACGGGCTGGTGCGTCTCGCCGTCAGCGCTGCACTGGAAGATGATGGTGGTGTTGGTGGTGGGTGAGTCGCCAAACTCACACCCGGGGCTCACGTAATCCATGCGCAGCTGGTGGTCGGGCGTGACATACGGCGAGGACGGCAGGCCAAGAGGGTCCCCCTGACGCTGGCCGTGCGGCGACATGCACACGGAGTAGAAGTTCTCACAGCCGGGGCGCGGGCGCACGAGGGAGCGGCACACGTTGATGTCAATCACGGCAAGGCTACCACCCATGCTCTCTGGGTCTGGGATCTCAACAGCATAGTCCTCATCAATCTGCATGAGCGGCGACAGGTCGTACGCAACGGGCTCCGTGTCCTGGTTGAAGTCGATGGCCGTGCACGACGTCTGCCGCACGCGCGAGCACGCCAGTGCCGTGTACACCTCAAACCGGTACTCGCAGTCGTCCGTCTCCTCAATGTACTCCAGGCGTGGGGCACCCGTCTCGGCGTGGTCGCACATGATGAACAGCGTCGTCCTGCGCTTGTACTGGCCGTGGCACAGCTTGCCGTCCGTGTACTGCAGCGTGAGCTGGTCGCCCTCAAAGAAGAGGTGGTGGTTCGCCTGCCCAAGGCCAACCGTCAGGCCGCTGGTGGTCTGGCACGCGCCCATGCCGCTGCACTCGCGCTGGTTGCTCTTCTGCGACTCCTGGCAGATACCAACGTAGTAGTCGTACTCCGTACCGTCCTTGCCGTACCCGCGCGTGTGCAGCAGGCCGTCGCTGCCCAGCCCAGACAGGTCAATCGTCTCGCCCGTGATGCGGTTCATCACCTTGCAGCCGCGTCCGGAGTCGTCGTCACCGCCGGTCCCTGGGCTCGACGTGCTTGTTGTCGACGTCGCCTCGCTGCCGCCGTGCGGGCACGCCGCAGAGCTGCTCCAGGAGAAGTGGTAGTCGCAGTGGTCGCCCTCAAACTCAAACACGGGCGTGCCCAGGTCGCCGGGGGTCGGGTTGCAGGAGAACTCAATGGTGGCCGTGCGGTGGCCGGGGCAGCCCGACGAGTCGCCAAGCGGGTACTGCATCTGCAAGCGGCCGTCCACCACCTCTGGGCCCCGCAGCGGGTAGCCAATGGTGTAGTGGTCGCGCGAGTCAAGGTTCGTCTGGCAGGCGGCGGCAAAGGGCGCGCAGGAGATGGACGAGTCCGGCACGAGCGGGCGACACACGTTGATGCGGAAGGCGTACTTGGCGAGCAGCGGGTCGTCGTCGTTGTCCAGCGCAAGCCAGTTGCTGGAGGAGGCCGTGCCGCGGTCGTACACGGTGATGGCGTAGTCCTGCCGCATGAGCGCGTCGAGGTGGTACTCGGCGCCCGTGTCCGGGTCAATGGCCCCGCAGTGCGTGATCTGCGGCTTGCAGGCATGCTGCGTGCGCCACTGGAAGATGTACATGCAGTTGTTGTCCTCGTGCAGGAACTCAGGCTCGCCCGTCTCCACCTCCAAGTCGCAGACAAACAGGATCACGGTCCGGCGGAACACCGTCTTGTCGTGGCACGCGTGCCCGTGCTCGTACGACAGCTGCAGCACGTTGTTGTCAAAGAGTGGCTCCGAGTTCACCTCGCCAAGATGATACGCGTTGCCAGATCCGTCCGTCTTCACATGCGAAAGAGGTGCCGCACATGATGTTTGCGTGTGATGTATGTATGTGTGTGATGTATGTTTGTGTGTGATATGTGATGTGTTTGTGAGTGGGGAAGAAGAGCGAGAAGCAGAAAAAGGACAGCAGTTGTGAAAGAAGAAAACGGAGGCGAAACACACCGTGGGCCACGGCAGCAATAAGCCAGCACAAGCAGCTGAGATGGATAGTGTGTGCATCAGTGTGACGACATAGGTTGCGTACCTGGCAAGCGCCTGCTGAAGAAGAGGATTTCCTGTCCGCACACGGGACGGCCTTGCACACGTTGAGCTCGTACGTGTACTTTGGCGTCTTCACCTCGTACGGCCTGTCACGGCGCAGCGGAGACAGATCCATTTGCATCTGTGTGCGCGCGCGTGCATGTGTGCATGTGTTTGAGAGAGGGGGGGAGGAGATCGCGCATGTCGTGAGACCAAATCATGACGTGGAATAATGGAGGAAGTGTGAACACACGATGGACGACACGCAAGCTCATGTGCACCACACACACACACACACACACACACACACACACGCACGCATAATAGTACACAATCCAGTGTGTGCACTGCTGCACATGTCGAGGCGACTTACGCCTGTGATTGAGTCTGAGACCATGCAGTTTGAGCCGCGCACGAGGACGCGTTGGCAGGCGGCCTTGCTGCGGATGCGGAAGAGGTATTTGTTGCTCTCCACTTCTTTGCCAAGATAAACAAGCGTGTTGAACGTGGACTGGTGTGTGCAATCAGAGAGAGAGAGAGAAAAAAAAAACAAAAGGGGGGGGGGGGTTAAAAGCAGTGTTGGAGTGTCAGGTTGTGAGGGGGTGTGTGGGAGAGTGAGAAAGTGGGTTGTCACAAGAAGCGAACGGGCAGAAGACAGTAGCGTCACGCATGCACACGTGAGCGCACCTCGTCCTCTGATGGCTCTGGACAAACGAATTCGATGCGGGAGGAGGCGCCGTCGGTGCCGTTGAGATAATCGATGTACACGCGGTCGTGCTCTGCGTCATACACAGGCTCCTTGCCAGGCTGGCGTGGTGGAAGTGGTGGCGAGGGGAGAAGGGGAGTGGGACAGAGCGAGCGTGGGGGGGGGGTGACAATGTGAGACGATGGAAGTTTGGGTTGAATCATATCAGTTGTGGGAGCGCGGGCGTATGTGCGATTCGGGCTAGGTCGTATGCGTAGCAATTCATCACATGGCACGCCATACATGGCACGCCACACACACACACACACACACACACACACACACACACACACACACACACACACACACACACACACACACACACACACACACACACACACACACACACACACACGAGTACGAACCTTGCCAAGGCTGATTGCCTTCTTGTCGTGGGTGATGGCACAGGCGGCGGCGCCAAAGGGGCAGAGGCGCTCCGAGTCCGGGATCATGGGACGACACACGTTGATGAGGAACGTTGTGCCTGTCTCTGCATCCTCTGCAAAGTAGTTGGCGTTGCTGTCCAGTAGGCGCGAGATGTCAAACCTGCAGACACGCAATCATGGGTTCAAGTGAAGCAGCACGCCAGAGTATAAGCAAGCGTTCGTTCGTTTGTGCACAGGACAGAGGCCTGACAAAATCCTTTGGTACCAACGAAGCAAGCACACCAATTCATAACCACAAACTGGTGCGTGCATGCAGAAACAAACACACACAAGCAAACACCCAAACAACAAAACACAAACAAACACACACACCTCTTGTCTCCGTGGTACGCAATGCAGTTCATGGTCTCAAACTCCTCTGTGCACGCGTAACGCGTAGGCCACTCGAGCTCAAGCAGACAGTCGTCGTCGCTCAGGACAACAGGGCCGTCCTCTCCGTCCCCCTCAGCGCACCTAGGGGTAGGGGAAGGGTGATTGTGTTGGCAATGCAAGCGGTGAGGGAAGCGAGCCAGGAAGCGGCGACAGCTGTTGCTGAAAGCATTTCGCCCATGCTCGCGCACGCTAAGGACACCGTGCGCATTGCAGCCAAACTCGCACGTACAGCAAACTCTGCAGCCAACACCCACCCATACACACACACACGCAACGCACGCACGCACGCACGCCCACAAACGCACACACATACACGCACTGCAACTGCCAATGGGTTCTGCTCACTTGAACTGGATGGTGGTTGCCTTCTTCTGGCCGTTGCCGCAGGATGCGCCATTGCTGTACGTGAGGAAGAGGCTGTCCTGGTTGTAGGACAGCTCCGTGGTGGCCTGACCATAGGATTTGCGTGAAGCGTCACAGACGGCCACGTCGTCACCGCAGTAGCTGCTGGGGGCGCACAGGCCAACGTGGTACGTGGCATCAGTGGATGACACGTGCAAGTCGCGGTGGCGCAGCTTGCTGGCCAGGTTGGTCAGGTCAAACGTCTGCCCAGAGTGCTCGTCCGTGAGGCGGCACCCCTCGGCCCTGTCTGTCTCGACTGGGCACGCAGCAGACGTCTGCCACAGGAACTCGTAGTGGCACGTGGTCTTTTCCTCAAGCGCCGTCAGGGCACCGGCCACGCCTGCGCTCTCATCGCACTCAAAGGTGATGGTCATGGAGCGGGAAATGTCCAGGTTGCCGCACTTGCTGCCGTTGGTGTACTCGAGCACGAGCGCGTTGTTGCCGTCGATGCGCGGGCCGCTCACAGTGCCAAGAGGGTATGCCGTGTGCTTGCTGTCGTCCAGCAGCTGGCAGCCGCCCGTGCCCTCGCACCCGAGAGAGGGTGCAACGACGTTCTTGCACACGTTGATCAAATAGCTGTACGAGGCTGTGGTGTGTGTGTGTGTGTGTGCGTGTGTGTGTGCGTGTGTGTGTGTGTGTGCGTGTGTGTGTGTGTGTGTGTGTGTGTGTGTGTGTGTGTGTGTGTGTGTGTGTGTGAGTAAGTCAGTGTACAGGAAACGACGGGAAGAAATGTCCCCCAGCAGTTGTTCGGATCCAGTCAGGAAAAACACCCATCCCTAAAATCCATACACCGCCACACTGCAGCACATATCCACCCAGGTGCGTCTTCATCAGTACCTGCGTCGACGCGCCAGTACGTGTCCTTGGTGAGCGGGCTAAGGTCATACGAGCGCCCGTTGGCTTCAATGGCGCACTCCACCTCCTGCACACACACAAGCGACGTCTGCACCTCAAACAACAGCACGCGCGGCTTGGCAATCGTGCCGACAATGTCAACCAGCGTTGCCCGGTCCTCCAGCGATGCGTCGGGCGTGGCGGCCGGGTCGCACACGAACGTGGTGATGACGCCAATCTTGTCGCCGCTCACAGGGGCAGACACGTACGAGACCTGCACCTCTCCGCCCGTGACGGACACGCCGCTGGTGGTTGTTGCCAGCACGTCGGCGTGGATGCCCTTGGTCCGGCACACGGCGGCCTTCTTGCCATCAATGCCACACGACACGGGCGCACCACACACGCCAAACTCGTACGTCGTGTCCTCAAACAGCACCGAGTACGACTTGCCCTTGAGGGGCGAAAAATCAAACACGTTGTCGTTGTCGTCGGTGACGCTGCATGCGCTGCCGCTGCTCTGCTCGCTGCCAACCACGCAGGCCGCCGTGGTCTCCCAGTCGAAGATGTAGTAGCAGTTGATTTCCTCACGGAACTTGGGGCTGCCCAGGCCCTTGTCGCGCGACGTGGGGCAGGTGAAGAAGATCTGCGCCTTGCGCTTGATGCCCGTGTCCCCGCACGAGTCGCCCATGGTGTATGTCATGGAGACTTCGCCGTTGCTGTAGCGAGGCGTGGCCGGGTGGCCGAGCGACACGGGCCGACGGCTGCTCTCGCTCGTCTTGTACTGGCACGCTGCGGAGGTGCTGGTGGCGCACCCGGCAGGCAGGTCCGGTGTGGGCACAAGTGTGCGGCACACGGACAGGTAGTACATGTACGTGTCGGCGTTGTGCGTCTCGTCAAGGGCGCGCCAGTTGCTGACGGAGCTGACGAGCGGGCTGAGGTCGATGATGTCGCCCTTGTCTGTCTCCACATAGCAAGGAAGCTCCTCCACGCTTGGGTCAGCGTCCTCGCACACAAGGTCGGTTTCCCATCTGAAGGTGAACGAGCACTCGTCGCCCTCGTTGAGGAAGACGGGCCGGCCCCTGCTTGGACCGCAGGTGAACAGGATTTTCGTGTGTGGCCGTGCACCGCTCTCACACGCGGCCCCGTGCGTTGCATCGCTGGAGAACAGCAGTGTCACGCCCTCCGATGGCTCAGCCTGATGATGGTGGTGCATGTGATTTGTGAGTTGAGATGTGAGATGAGATGAGATGAGAGATGAGAGGGAGGGTGTGTCGATCATTGCAGGGGCGTGCGTGATTGCGCGTGCATGGTTGTCCCTGAGTGTGTAAGTTGAGAAGCGTGGGCAGAAGAGGGAGCGTGTGTTGCCGCGCATATGCACCCGACAACGCAATTGCAGGCAGAGGGCACCGTTACCGGATTGACGAGCGCAGGCGGAATGGACTCCGTGCCAATGTGGAGTGGGGGCTTGGAAGTGCCCGGCATGTCCTGGCAGCCTGAGATGTGGGTGTCGTTGTACTGTGACGTGCAGCGCTTTGCGCCGCCAACAGCGTTCACGTAACCGCACACGTTGAGGTAGTACACGTTGCCATCGTCGTCTCTAACCACGTGGTTGGCTTCTCCAGGTCTACCACACGACACCCACGCGCACATGTGTGTGTGTGTGTGTGTGTGTGTGTCCGCGGCACGGCAGCGCAAGTGCACGAAGTGAGCGATGTGCAGAAGCATGAATGGATGGTGTTGGAGGAAGAACACTGCTTCCACCACTGCCAATAGTACCACAGCACACAGCACACAGCACAGAACAAAGAAAACAGAGCGCAGAGCATAGAGCAACGCCAAGACATCACCACACAGCGGCAGCACAGCGTACTTTCTGAAGAGCGGGGATAAATCGAAGACAACGTTGCCCGTCTCGTAGTTGACCACCTTGCACGACAGAGGCGGTTCGGTGACGGCGCGGGGGTCTCGGTGGCCTTGCTGTGACAAGGCATATGCAGCGGCACGGTCATACTCATCTGCGAGCAAGGTGCTTTTCAACACAAACCCGCCCTGGGTGGTCTGGCCTCCACTTGATAGGGGCACAGCACGCGTGGTGGTTGTGGCGACCACTAGTAACGCGGCTACAGTCGCAACACACCACCACAACATCATCGTCATCCTTCTTGGAGGAGACACCAAGTGCTGCTGCACCTTGCCTCCTGAATTTCTTGTCTTCATCGTTTGTTGCCGCTCACAACGACCTATGCTGCTGCAGCCTTCTTGCTGCTGTCTCTCTTCTGCACACGTGCAGCCACTCGCTGCTCTCTGCCTGGTGGTCGTGTCGTCGCACCCCGTACCCACTCTCGAGCGTGCCTGTCCTCCAGTTCAGTCGTGCTGCGTCAGCCGTGTTGGTTGAATGGCTGTGTTGTGTGCACAAGAATACACATCCAAGAAAAAAAAATTGGAGGAAAATATAGGTCACTGTACTATTTAAAGGACAACACACAACACTCTGGAAGGGGTGGGGGGGGGGGAGAGAAAAGAAAGAAACGCGCGCGTGTGTGTGTGTGTGTGTGTGTGTGTGTGTGTGTGTGTGTGTGTGTGTGTGTGTGTGTGTGTGTGTGTGTGTGTGTGTGTGTGTGTGTGTGTGTGTGTGTGTGTGGTTCAGGGAAGGGTTGTGGTGACGGATTTGGCCTTGAGTTGTGGGTGAGGTGTGGGCGGCTGCAAGGAGAAGAACTGCGAGAGCTTGTGCTGCACGTCGACGGGGTGGTTCATGTCGAAGCGCGCTTGCATCGTCCTCGCCAGATATAGCAACATGTCAGAACGCTCCTCAAACTTTCGCAACTTTTGCTGCCACTTTTGCCTCGAAAACTGGGATGCCCTGTGGAGCGTACGAGTGCATGACGGAGTGAGTGTGAATGTGTGTGAATGTGTGTGTGTGTGTGAGAGAGAGAGCGGGTGTGTTTGGCGTGGTGGGGGGGGGTTCAAGTGTGAGTGTAAGTGAATGTGCTCGTGTGTGTGTGTGTGTGTGTGTGTGTGTGTGTGTGAGTGTAAGTGAATGTGCTCGTGTGTGTGTGTGTGTGTGTGTGTGTGTGTGTGTGTGTGTATGTGTGTGAATGTGTAACAGTGAGCGGCCATGTTATAGTCGTGTGTGTGATGTTCGCACCCTTTGTTGTGTGCCTTGAGGTAGGTTGCAATGTACAAGATGGCCGATTGAGTAGGTGAGAGAAATGGGAACTTGGGCCGCTTCAAGCCCACGGCTGTCAACGCCTTGGTGATGGTCTGGGCAACCGTAAAGTCCATGTATGCCAGCATCGGCAGCGTTGTCACGTTCTGTACGGCAACAGTTGATGCAATGCGACGCAAGTGAGCTGGAGTCCGCACGCATTCATGATTCCAGAGAACACGCACGCGCACGCGCGCGCACACACACACGCACACGCACGCACGCACGCACGCACGCACACAGACACACGCACACAGACACAAGCACACACAGACACAAGCAAGCAAGATGAATGCCTGTGACGGCATGCAGTTGGCATGAGCCCGTCTCACCACTGGCGTTGTGGGGCGAGGGATCTTGTCGGGCAGTACCACGTCTGCAAACTTGTGCGGTGTCTTCATAAACTCCGCAAGCTGAATCAACATGCAGGCGGAGTTGGGATGAGATGGGATGAGACGGTAAAATGCGTCATGGGTCGTCAAAGCACTTGGAAACAAAATCAGGTGCAATCTAAGAAAACGACGGATCCTCTTCAACATACGAATGAAAAATGCACACCCCTCGCACCCAAAAGTCCGCACACACACACACACACACACACACACACACACACACACACACACACACACACACACGCACACAAATGGACGCACGCACGCACGCACATACACGTACACACACACACACACACGCACATAAATGGACGCACCGCATTCTTAGTTGCCATTGCGTAGAAGGCGTCCTTGAACTTTGCGACGTACTGGACAGCGCCGGGCGTGATCGCTTCGGGGTTGTTTCCGCTCTGCACATATGAGACGGGGCAAAAGGCGCCAAATTCCATCTGATGTAACGGCGGCACGGCAGTGACAGCAAAACCACGTGAGGTGGTCACCAAAAACGAAACGTGAAAGGTCAGTGAATAAACAGACTCGCAGAGCAGAGCAAACGCACAAGCGATACACATGCCACGCACACATGCAAGCACGCACACACATCGTGCCGTGCAATGCAAGTAAACAGGCGAGTGGACGTACGTGCAGGTGAGACACACAGACAAGAAGACGCATTGGTGGATATAACCAGTCACAAGACAACGCAGGTGGGGACACAGTGACTCACGGATTGCGGGAAGAGGAGCTTGACGGACGATTCGTCCACATGTTCCGGCAAGTGCTCGGGCGCATCCGCCTCCGTGTACTTCTGCACACACACACACACACACACACATGCACACGCACGCACACACACACACACGCACACACACGCACACGCACACATGCACATGCCGGTGGGGACAAGTGCCAAGGTTGAGGTGAGGTGTGGTGTCGAGATAACACGAAAGCGGACAGCAAGCAACTCACATACCCCCGGCAATGGTACGCATGCAAACTGTACAAACAAACAGACAAATACACAAACAGACAAACAAACGAACAAACGAACAAACAGCAACGCACCTCTCCCTCCACTCGTTATTCACACACAGACACACACACAGACACATACACACACAGAGACACACAGACACACAAGCGCGCGCATTCGCACACCTGTGGGTCTGCAACAAACGTGTTGAGTTCCTCTTCGCCTGCGAGCTTGAAGATCTCGCCGCCGTATTCGACGCTGTGCGCCATCACGTCAAAGCGCGTGCGCACAAGCTCTTGGTGGTCAGCCCACCTGCACACGCAGACGAAAGACAGAAATGTCGGAGTGCGCGGTCACAAGCATGCACAGCGTTTGGTGTAAGCTCAATGCATTTCGGATTCACCTTGACAGAGGGGTAGTGTCAACACACATACACGCACACACATGCGCATACACATTGCCGTACTGACCTGACGGGGCACAGGACGTCAAACTTTGACGAGAGGGCATCACGGATGGTGGACGTTGGTGTGCACATGCGGTGAAGCGGTGCGGGTCGCCCGGCCTCCTGCAGCGCCTTGTTCGTGCCAATCGCCCGCAGTACGCAGTCGCACACGGCACGCGCGGCGTAAAACTGGGCCCACATGTTGCGTGTGCCTGGAATCTCGTACCAGTTGCGGTACTCCTCAATGCAGTGCGTGCGGGCGGGCGCCACACACGCCGTGTACCCGTCAAAGCGTGCGCGCACAACAGCATCAGAGTCGTGCTCCTGTAGTGGACGGGAGGAAGGAGGGGAAGGGGATGTGGTGGGGGAGAGGGAAGCATCAGCGAGGACAAGTGTTTGTTGTTGGTGTGGGTTTGAGATCGAGATGTGTGACGTTGTGTCGATGACCATATACACGCATGCCCTGACACACGCAGACAAACACACACATACACACAAACAAACAAACAAACAAACAAACAAACAAACAAACAAACAAACAAACAAACAAACAAACAAACAAACAAACAAACAAACAAACAAACAAACGAACAAACGAACGAACAAACGAACGAACAAACAAGCAAACGAACGAACAAACGAACGAACAAACAAGCAAACGAACGAACAAACGAACGAACAAACAAGCAAACGAACGAACAAACGAACAAGCAAATACACACAAACAAACACACACAACTGCACAGCAGACGCACCGCTTCGTTTGCCATTGCGCCGGCACGAAGCTGTTGGCTGCGGGTGAGACACGCGTCAAGCGTTGCAGTCAACTCAATCACTGCAAACACACCAAGCGCTTCGCTCGCCCACTGCTGCAGCTGTCACACAACACAAGCAAATGATCGGTCAGAAATGTATGGTATTGGCGACACGCATGTGAAGAAGGGGCACCAAAGAAGGAACAGAAATTGTGATGACAACGGCACAAGGACGGACACACACGCACACGCGCACCACACAGCACAGCGTACATACACAGCACAGCACAACACACACACACACATATGTAAGCACCCACACACACACGCAAGAGAGCGTTCACACCGATTGGAGGTCGATGGCGTCTGCGTCAAAGATGAATCCGCGTGCGCAGCACTGGGGATCAAAAAACGCCATTTCAACAGCGCGGGCAACGAGGTCGCGTGAGAGCGTGGCGCCCGTGATCAGGCACGACCGCACCTGCGACGCCAGCACTGTGTTGATGTTGGTGTTGCGTCGAATTGCATTGCAGTCGTGCATGCTACCGTGAGTTCGTTGAATGAAATAGAGGTCAAGGGTCGCACAAGTTTGCATCTTCACCATTCACACACTGACGCACACACACACATACATGCAAGCACATTCATGCACACATACGCACACACATGTAAACACACACATACATGCACATTCACGGGCAAACACACATGTGAACACGCACAAATACACATACAGGCACACATCACCCACCAGAATCTGGGTGCTGCGCGAGAAGGCGTTCAAGGATGGCGGGCGTGTTGAGGAGCGGCACGTTGTAGTCGTCAGCAAGGCGGCGGCACAGCGATGTTTTTCCGATTCGCGGCGGCCCAACCACAATGAGGGCCATCCGCGGTGCCGGGAACAGCGCCGGCAGCACCTGCGGGTGCTTGGCCAGGAACTTGCGCGGGCGCCGCACAAACGCCTCCCTGGTGTCGCTGCTGGTGAAATGGTACACGCGGTTGCGGTACACGGCAGCAAAGCGGGGCTGCAGCGTGGGCATGGCCGCCTTGTTGTTGAAAACGTCAACGGGATCCCAGTGCCCAAACACGGAGAGCGAGCACAGGCCCTTCTCCAACAGCTCCTCAGCGTGGTCCAGCGTGCACGGGTAGCAAAAGTCCAGCACAGCCTCCCTGTCCTGCAAGAGGGGCTTCAGCCTTCGCTGCAGCACACCAAACACGCGGGACATGCCATAGTCAGCGTTGACGGTGAACGACGTCACCCTGAACTCGTCGCGTGCTGAGTCAGCAGCGGCAGCGGCAGCCTCCGCCACGCGCTCATGCACATCTACCAGCTCGGCCCGGATGCGGTCCCGCGCTTGCTCATCTGCAAGCAGGCGCATGCAGTGCATTGCGTGTGTGTGCATGTGTGCATGTGTGTACGTGCGTGCGTGCGTGCGTGTGTGTGTAGGTGTGTATGTGTGTATGTGCGGACAAGAAAGGGGGAGACAGATGGATGAAGACAGATGCACAGGGAGGGAATGAATGAGAGGAAGCGTGAGTAAGTGTGTGAAAAGCCTGTGTTGAGAGAGAGAGGGGGGGTTGCGTGCAAGTGTTTGTCAGCATGCATTAACAATGCATCGTTCGACCGACAGAAGTAGTCTATCCACACACATACACGCATCTGCTGCGTCGATGTACAAACAAACCTGTTTCGAGGGGTTCTTCTTCCATCTCGTCTTCCTCGCCTTCCTCCTCTCCAGCGGACTGGTACTCCTCCTCAACAAACTCCTCCTCCTCCACGTCCTCCCCTGCAGCCCGCGAAATGGTCAACGAAAGCGTGAGGAGGAAAAAAACATATGCAAAGACAATGACAACATGCAGCTGAAGACATTGCTTCGCATGGACACGACGTGCAAGCCTTGTTCCCCATGCAAGCGGCTCTCTTGAGACCACCCACCCCTCTTCCCCGCTCAATAACTTATCCAAGTGAAAGCTCCCCTCCCACCCCAAACAAGGCACGCAGCAACATGTCACCTGCTTCGATGCGCTGCCTGAGGTTTTCTTCAAACTCCAGCCGCCGCTTCTCCTGCTCAGCCATAAACGCCTCTCGCCGCTTCTGGCGCTCTGCTGCTTTGCGCTCCCGCTCCGCCTTGCGATCGGCGATGATTGCGTTTCGCTTGGCAATAAAGGCCTTCATGGCCGCGTCGAGCAGGCGGCGCGCAGCAACGTGCGCTGTCAGGCTGAAGTTGAGCACAGCGTCGGGGTACAGCGACGCCTCCGTGGCAACACGAAGATCCTCATCTGCAGGAACACAGGGTGTGAATGTATTTGTGTGTGAATGTATTTGTGTGAGTGTGAGTGTGTGTGCGTGCGTGCGTGCGTGCGTGCGTGTGTGTGTGTGTGTGTGTGTGTGTGTGTGTGTGTTTTTGTGTGTGTGTGTGTGAATGTATTTGTGTGTGAATGTATTTATGTGAGTGTGAGTGTGTGTGCGTGCGTGCGTGTCTGTGTAAACTGGTGGTGTGTTTTCAAGTTCGCTCACATCAGTGCAACATGCTCAAAGCAAACAGACACCCACAATCACGTGCACTTCCGTCACCGCTCTTACCGTTGCGTGGAAACCCCTCAAGGATAAATCCACCAGTCTTGAACGGCTCCTGTCGCCACAGCATCTTCACCACCGCCACCGCCATGTCCGATGCCAGCGGCGCGTCGTCGGGGTTCTCCACGTGCGCCTGTACGGCCTCGTGTGCTTCGTGCGTCGGGTCCTGCGCCACAGACCGCAGCAGCTCGGGGAAGTCGACAACATGCAGGCTGTGCTCCTTGGCAATGCGCTTGGCAAACACCGTCTTGCCCGCACCAGAGGGCCCAATAAAGCACACGCGTGGTGGCGGCAGCGACTGTGGTTTGGTGGTGGACACAAACTGGTACGGGGCGACCTGGAACTGTGAGCGCGCCGTCTCGCTGGTGAAACGGTACACGCGTCCTTCAAACCGCGCGGCGTAGTCTGGAACACCGGGCGCAAGCACACCCTTCTCTTGCAGCGCAACGGGGCAAAACCTGCCACGACATCGTGGCAGAAAGAAAGAGAGAGTGTGTGTTTGTGTTTGCGGGGGGGAGGAAGGATTGAGAAGGAATGGTGGATCAAGCGGTGAGGTGAGCTGCCACTGTACAACAACGTCACGGACAGTGAACGATGCACAGCACACACAGTTGCAGTTAACAGGCAACAAAGACACGCCACTGCGCCAGCACCCCCACTGTGCAAATCGTCGTCGTTATCATTGCAACCATTGCGTACCTCCCAGTGTCACCAAAGTTGAAGTTGGGCTGGTCTTCCTCGGCTGCGTCTGCGAACATGTCTCGCGTCTCGCGCGGGGCCAACTAAGCGGAAGCAGAGAGAAGCAGGAGTTATGGTGCATGACAGAGCGTATGTTTGTGTGGTTGCAAGCGTGTGTGTGGGAGGATTCACAACAGTGTGAGGATGAGGGTGAGGGTGCGTGTGTGTGTGTGTGCAATCCAAGAGGCATCAGGGATTGCACGCATGCAAAGTGTTGGTGAGTGCAGTTGAAAGCCAGTCTGCAATGGACAATGGAAAGAGCAGCAGCAGCAGTGGCGGCGGCTCGATTATCGAGCAGACGGCCCGCACCTTGAATGTCATGTTGGCGTGGAAGTGCATGTCAGCGAGCACGTCTGCCTCCACCTCCATGGGGCACTCGGCCGACGTGTGTTTGAGTCCAAACGCAATTGCGCCCTTCTGCTGCAGTTCGCTGATTGCCGCCTGCACAATCTCGACGCGCGGATCAGCAGCAATCGGCTTCTTCACGCCAACGGACGCTGGCAATTGGAGGGAAGTGCAAAAAAACAAGGACGGGGGCAGAGCAACGTGGGGGTCGACGGCGTGAATACTTGTGTATTTGTGTGTGCATGTGTGTGTGTGCATGTGTGTGTGTGTGTGTGTGTGTGCAGCAGAGCGAAGCGGAAGACGGCAGGTGCAGTCACACACTCAAGGAAGAAGGGCATGAACGTTGTATCACGTGCGCATCGACGCACACAAATATTACATACACGCACACGCACCTTCCTCCTCGTCGTCGCTGTCTGGGCCCGGAACAACAATCTCTGGCAGCGCAGGGCGGGGAGGAGGGCGCAGCACAGCAACCGTGTGCGGCGCAGCGGGCGTACCAATCAGCTTGTGGACCGTGTCTGCAAGCTTGTCAATGCTCACGTGCGCCACCCACGACTACCAAAGATGAACAAGTGGGCGAGGAGGGGAGTAGTGAGCGGTTGAGTCGAAAAAGAAACAGCAGCACAATTGAAGCATAAACTGCATGCATACGCCATGGCAAAACGCGGTTCCTCCACTCGCAAACACACGCACACACACGCACACACACGCACACGCACGTACTAACAAAAGAACACACAACCAAACAACCCACACACCTTTGAGGATGCGAGGACATCGATCATGTTGCGGACAGCATCGTTCTTCTGGTCGTCTGTTGCGTCATCCTCTGGAAGCATGTCGCCCAGGTCAAAGATGCCAATCTCACCCCCATCGGGGCGGGACGAGAGAAACGCGTTGGCAATCGTGCTCATCTTGGACGCTTCCCCACCCGTGATGACCACACGGCATGGCACGCGCTTGGGACGACACACATATGTGCGCGGGTTGGACAGGAACGCGGAGCGTGCTGTCTCAGACGAGAGAAGGTAGAGGCGGCCCTGGAACACAACCGCCAACGCCGCCCTGCCGCGCTTCAACTCGCCCTCAAGGTGCAAGGCAACAGGGCAGTAGGGACCAAAGGGACCTGGGTCGTGGAGCATGAGGCGTGGAAGGTGGCGATGTGCATGCAAGAGTGAGTAAGTCAGCGATACACAACAATGACGCTGGTGCTTCATTCAACCGTTGGCAAACGCAAGCCCAACATGCTGACTGACTGCCCATGACTGCCAGCATCAAAAGCCAGATCAGGTGCAACGGACCTGGCTGCCACGTCCACGCGAGCAGCTCCGAGTCCTCCTCGTCCAACTCATCGTGCAGCGAGAGCGTGCTCAGCACCTCAAACATCTCCGCATCGCTCGAGACTGCAAGTGTGTGGATGTGAAAGTGTGTGAATGTGAAAGTGTGTGAATGTGGGTGTGAATGTGTGTGAATGTGGGTGTGAAAGGGTGTGAAGGTGGATGGTTGAGCATTTTGCTCTGTGAACACCATCAACATGCCCATGTGTCGTGGACAGACAAGGAGGCGCAGGCACTTGTGGGGTGTGTGTCAGTATCGGATGAAACGCACACTCTGTTTCATCGGGCTTGAGGGCGATTGGGTCGATGGTTGGCATAAAGCCGTGCTCATGCAAGAACCCCTGCATACAAGAACGTCATGGATTTGTCGCGGTCAAAGGTGCGCGAAGGAACAAATACACTCACAAACACGTGCGATCACTCACAAGCACACACGACACACGACACTCACGCGCGCGCGCACAAACACACACACACACACACACACACACACACACACGAGCAGAGCAGGAGGCGGCGTACGGAAATGGCGTTGACGGAGGAGTGGAGCGGCGCAATTCCGTTGAGGGCAATGCAATATTGCGCCCGCATTGTTCGCAGCTTTCTCTGCACAGCCTCCGTGCTGGCAGACACGGGACGAAGGGCAGGGGTGTCTGATGTGCTACCAGTGCTGGTGCTGGTGTTGGCGCTGGTGATGCGAACGTCGCGTGGGCGCCGCAGACAAAACTGCAGGAGCGTCTCCTCACCAGGTGGGGCATGCTGCGGCATGGACTGTTGTTGGTGGTGGTGATGGTGGCAGTGGTGGTGGTGGTGGTGGTGACAGCGATGGTTGTGAGGGTGATGGTGGTGGTGATGGCGGTGGTGATGGTGGCGAGGGTGAAAATGATGATGATTGTATGGAGATCGTCAGGGTTGTGGCGTGGGTGACAGCATCCGTACACATGACGCAAGTTGGTGACGATCAACGCCGTCACCACAGAGGCGCGAGTGTTGCTGGAGACGGGGCCACAGATGATGTCGCACATTGCAAGTGCACGTGCACGACAGCAAATGCGGCAACGAACGTTATCGCGCGGGGTTGTGAATGCCGTTGCATCTTCGCTCAGCATGTCCTCCTCGTCCTCCCCTGCGTCCTCTTCTTCTTCTTCATCCTCGTCTTCGCTCCCGGCACCGCCGCTGTCAGCAACATCAGCGCCGTCCATCGCCTGACGATTGTGTGAAAGGCGAAGCGCACAAGGTGAGATACACATATGCGCAAGCGGATGTGAGCACGTCACTAGAGCATGAAGGTTGATGTAAGAACTGGCGAGTACACAAACAAGACCTTCTCTCGTCTTCAGCACATCCATTCACATCCAACCCCATCCGTTCACAGACACATCCACAGGCCCATCCACCGGCCATATCTCTCCCCTCCACAGCCAACTATCTTCGTCGTCCCACCGAAGCACAGAGGGAATCGCAGAGAAGAACGCCTGTGCGGAAGTCTTGCATGATCGATGCAACCTGTGCACTCAGGTCACTCGCCGCCTCCTGCTCGCAACCACAACCATGATGCAGACATGGACGTGCGTGTATGTGTGTTCGTCGTGAGAAGCAGAATAGCGATGGAGTCACTTCCTGCAGCCAGAACGCGCAGCCCTCCAACGCGTACACACACACACACACACACACACACACACCTTGAGGTGGAAGATGTAGTTTGGTTTGAACTCCCAATCCTGCATGTTGGCGAGCACCTGCTGAGCCGTGTCGCCCGCAGCCATGTCCACAACCACAACGTACCCTGCACACACAAGCACAGCACAGTGTTGTGTGGCATGTCAAGGACAAACACAGCAAACAGGTGTTTCGCATGGTGTAGCGAGCATGTCACTTAATGTCTTGCAACGAACACAACAATCCATCCATCCATCCATCCATCCATCCACCATGATCATCGTCATCATTGCTATCAAGGTCTTCAGTCACGCACCTCTGAGCTGGGCACGAGGGGATGCGGCGCGCTCCGCCATGAGTGCAATCACATCGTCGCTGCTGACGGCCTCCCCGCCCAACAGCGCCTCAGCAACCTGCACACAAGCAAACGCATCGACCGTGTGTGCAACGGGGTGAGGCAGTGTGTGCATGGGCGTACGTTGTGTGTTGTGTGTGTGTGTGTGTGTGTGTGTGTGTGTGTGTGTGTGTGTGTGTGTGTGTGTGTGTGTGTGTGTGTGGGCGTGCGTTGTGCGTCGGGCGTGCATGGAGGACCTCATCGAACAGGGTCACGTCGATTCACACGCACGTAAACCTTCCAAGCACCACCATCTTCACAATCAAACACAAAAGCCCTGGTCACGATGCAAGACGCCACACCTGCATGGTGAGCTTGGTGGCCGACTCCAGGGGGCGTGGTTTGAAGCGATACAACTCGGTTCTGCGCGCGACCTCCGGGTCTGGCTCCTCCTCGTCCGGGTCAAACTCTTCTTCGTCCTCCTCGCCATCACCAGAGCCAAACGTGCCAGAGTGGTAGATGGGTCGTCCGTCAGCATCGACACGACGTGGCTGGATGGATTCATCGTCACCCTTCTCTTCCTCTTCCTCATCATCCTCCTCCTCCTCATCATCATCACCAGCGTCGTCATCACCATCAGGCCCAGCCCCGTCGGCTTCCTTGTCGTCGTCGTCACCCCCTGTCTTGTCATCGTCACCGTCCTCTCCAGCTTCTGCCTTCTTCTGAGCGCGCTTGGCGGCTCTCCGCCGGCGCTTGGCCTCCAACTTCTTCCGGCGCTCCAGCTCGGCAACGCCATCTGCAACAGCAACAAGAAACAACACCAGACACAGCGTACAGCAACAAATGTCAGTGAGTGAGACACACGCATACACACAGACAGACAGGCATACATACAAACAAACAGACAGACAGACAGACACAGGCACAGACGAGGAAAGGACAAGGGCTTGATGAGCGGTTGAGCTGGGGAGGATAATCATCAAACCACACCCAGGAATGCGGTACCTTTGACAGCAGCTTCGAGGATGGCCACGGGCTCAATCAGCTCGCAGTTCCAGTAGGCAGCAAGATGCTCGCCGATATTCCTGGCTTGCGGCTCCTGCACAGTGATGTATGACATGCATTGTGCACACCGTTGCTTGAGCTCCACCACAATGGGCTACACTCAACACGAACGCACACACAACATACACACACACACCCCCCACGCACACACACACGCACACACCCTACGCACACACACACCCACACCCACACGCCAACACAACCACCCCCCCCCCCACACACACACACACGCCAATACAACCAACCCCCCCCCACACACACACACACCATCACCACCACCATCATAACAGCAACCTACAACGTTGGCGATGACTGCGATGCGAGGGACGGGTGCAGCCGCCTGCTTAAAGGCAGCCTCGGAGTCGTCAAACGGCTCCAGCAACACTTGATCGTTTCCCGTCGTCGCCATGGTCCTTGGTCAATGGTGGTAGAAACGGTGGCAGAACACAGCGCTGTGATGGGTCGGCAAGTTGAGATGTCGCTGCGCCTCAGACAGACCCTTTGTCAGCTGTGTATCCGTGCAAGGAATCAAGCCAACGCACACACGCCAACAAGCAAACAGCGAAGCAGACAACGTTGTTGAACAAGCTGGCAGACAACAAGCAGCAGTGTTGTTGAAGCGCAAAGTTTGCTCGTTGCCAAGATTGGCGAAAAGTGATGAATAACTTTAATCAACATTCAGCAAGCAAGATGAGCCGGGAGGCGAAGAAGCGGATTCTGCAACAGGCAGCCGAGTTCCTTGCTCAGCAGGAGCAAGGTGGCAGTGTTGGTGATGCCGCAGAAGGTATGGCAGGCCACAAAGGCAAACATGCTGTGTGTACGTGTGCGTGTGTTGGACACGCGGAGAAAAGTCACGACTTGCCTGTGTTTGCTGTGTCAAGGGGCCCCCCAACACACCGTTCAGTGTTGTGTGTGTTGTGTGTCTGTCTGTCTGTCTGTCTGTCTGTCTGTCTGTCTGTCTGTCTGTCTGTCTGTCTGTCTGTCTGTCTGTCTGTCTGTCTGTCTGTTTGCGTGTGTGTGTGTGATTCCATGTACTGTTAAGAATACGTACCATTCACCTCTTCCTCTACGGGTTGATTGCTGCGCAGAGTGCCCTGGAAGCGAAGAGTGCTGGACGATCTGCGCCAAGCTGGAAGCAGCTGCGAGAGGAAAGACCGATCCGCAGAGTGTCGACGCGCCCAGTATCCGAGAGGTTCATATTCGTCAACAAGCACTGCCCTGAAAACAATATGCCTGCGCCTGCACCGACTCCTCACCTGTGCACCGACTCTTGACCTGTTCTCTTGCACCCACTCACACCAACTTGTTTGCAAATATACACGCTCACACCAGCTTTTTCGCATGCACACACACACACACACACACACACACACACACACACACACACACACACACACACACACACACACACCCATTGACGCACGCGCGCGCTCTCTCTCTCTCACACATTCACGCACACACTCTGCCACACCTCCGCGTGCATGCACATTACCAAACACCGCGACCATAATCCAACCATCCATCCGTGATGGGCACAGTTGCTGCCTTGTGCACCGCCCCCAGCAAAGCCAGCGTCAGAGGAGCCAAGCAGGTGATTTGATGGTCGCGGTATCTTGTGCTGCAGCCACACGCCGCTTGTCTTGTCCATGTCCATGTGTTGTGGACCAGTGCCGTCTGCACTCAAGCGACTCCTCCCCCCCCCAACTAGGGCTCACCTGCAAGCGCATGCGTGCGTGGTTGCTCTTGCTTGCAGGTTCAAGTGGAAGACGAGCCTTGATGAGAAGTTTGAGTTCGACTTTTACAAAGCCATCCCTCGCAAGCGCATCGACAACCTGTCATGGGGCAGCGGCGTCAGGGGCGTGCAGCGTTCTTCTGCAGGATCAGAGGTTGTGTGTGTGTGTGTGTGTGTGTGTGTGTGTGTGTGTGTGTGTGTGTGTGTGTGTGTGTGTGTGTGTGTGTGTGTGTGTGTGTGTGTGTGTGTGGGTGTGTGCTCTTGTGCATGCGACCATGTTCAGCTGTACGTGCAACTGGATGTGTTCTTGCACCGTGTGTATGCAAGCTGTGGATGCGACCGCTTGCAACCGTATGTGCGTGTGCGTGTGTCATGCATGCAGTTCGAGACAACCACCTCACGAACAATCCTCACTGGCAGGGTGTATTCTTTGTTGCGTTTCGAGACACGGATGAAGCTGTCGTCATCAAGGTAGCAAGCAACCCACCCTCTGACATCCATGTTCCAACTACATGCTGGCTATCCCGAGCGTTCACTGCCATACTCGCTCACTGCCACCGCGCACCATGTGTTCCTGTTCGTCCGTCCAACAAGGGGTCACGCAACATTGCTGCGGAGGCGTTTGCGGGCTTTCTCGCCCTCAAACTTGGCCTCAAGTCTCCAGACTTCCGCATCATCTCCGTCGCCGCACGGTATTTCCCTGTGGACGCGAGAGAGAGAGAGAGAGAGAATGTGTGTGTGTGAGTGAGTGAGTGTGACAGAGAGAGAGAGTGTGTGTGTGTGTTTGTGTGTGAGTGTGTGAGTGAGCGAGTGAGTGAGTGAGTGAGTGAGTGTGGGTTTGTGTGGGTGGGTGTGGGTTTGTATTGTCGTTGTGGGCTCTGGTGTGATTGTAGACGCTGTGGCATGTTTCCTTCAATGTGGCATGTGCTTGAATGCACGTTTTCGCACCCTGCCCTCTCTCGCTTACACTGCACTCAACTCCCTAACACACGCGTTTCGATGGACCAACTGATGCTGACATCCCAGGGAGGCGCAGGCAATGATGCACACGTTCCGCGAAGTCGACCACCTCGGCCTTGCTCATGCCGTTCTCAGCAAGCAGGTGACAAGTCGCATGTGCCGATTGCGTCAGTGGTTGAGGAGACATGCGGCAATATGGCCCGATGAGTACACCCTTCTTTCTTCACCGCACTTGGACGACCACGCGCATGCGCGAATCAACATGCTCGTGCACTCATACACACACACACATACACACACATGCACACACGTGTTTACATGCGCTCACGCTGACTCACACGGACTCATTTTGCGGCATGCGTTGCTCATGTGTGGGCGTGTTCACGAACTGCGTTGTGCAGTCTTTCCTGTTAATCAAGAACTTTGTGCGGGGCGTCAACCTCGGCCAAGTGAAGGAGGCTGACCTCATCAAAGTGTTTGGAGAGGTGGGAATGCTCTTCATGGCTGCTGTTGTCATGTGTCTTTGTTGTTGTACCGTCTCTCTTGTTCTTCTCTCTAATGTCACATCCCAAGCCATCTTCATCCAATCGCGTCTACTGCGAGCACCATCGCGCGCACCATCGTCACACCGAATCACCAGCTGTCATTCATACCAGATCACACACACACACACACAACATCACACACACACAATATCACACACACACAATATCACACACACACACGCATCACCACGCGACCGCGCTGCTGCATTGCCAGCCCGGTGCCTTCACGGATGGTGGTCGCGAGCGCTTCAAGGAGTTGGCGGCGCTTCTTCTCCTCGACGTCCTCTGCAACAACGGGTAAGCCGGTGCTGCTGGTGCTGCTGGTACTGCTGGTGCTGGTTTCATGTACACACGTTATCGTGACTTTCACTGCGAAACAAGTTGCACTCCAAACACATTTCACACACGCTTGTGTATTGCACTGCATTTCGCTCCCTTTGCCTTACCCAATTCGACACATTGAATCCACTGTTCCCCCCTGTGCGCCACCGCCGCCACAAACAGTGACCGCTTTCCGCTCATTTGGGACAACCGTGGCAACCCAGGCAACGTCATGTTTGCACGCAGCAACGGGCAGGTCATTGCCATCGACAATAACATTTGCGCCGTGGACGAGGCCACATATGCGGATCAACACCGCGAGTACCTCAGCAAGGTCAGCGCCGTTGCTTTTGTGCGTGTGCGTGTGCGTGTGCGTGTGTGTGTGTGTGTGCGTGCGCGTGTGTGTGTGCGTGTCTGTGCGTGTGTATGTGTGTGTGTGTGCGTGTGCGTGTGCGTGTGTGTGTAAGATGGAGGAAATCAGCCCGTCATCTTGAACCACTCTACATGCCGTACGCTTCCTCGGTCTGGGTCAAGGTGGAGAACCTGATTCATCTGACAGCGCGGCACACTGATGAGGGCACGGAGGCGCCCCAGTTCCACCGCGTGCGCGACAAAGTGATTGAGTACTGCAACTACGACTATGGCCTGGACGGCTCGCTCCTCATACAGCAAGAATTCCTTCACCTGGTAAGTTGACTTGGGGTTGATACTCTTTTTGTATGTTCCCAATGCCTCCACCCACCACCCTCACGTCACACACACACACACACACACACACACACACACACACACACACACACACACACACACACACACACACACACACACACACACACACACACACACACACACACACACACACACACACACACACACGTCACGCACACGTCACGCACACATATCGCACGCGCCTCACCAACGTCCTCCACCTTGCTCATCATTCTCCCCCTTTTTTGTGTGCTCCATGTGTGCGTGTGTGCGCGCAGGTGCAAGATGTGCCGGATGACTGGCTGACAGAGGACGAGTTGGCACATTGGGTGGCTGCGCTCTCCAACTTCACGCCGCCGCTTGTTGGCATCCACGCCGTCAGCGCCAAGTTTGTCATGGCTGTCTGGAACACCCTTAGGGAGAGCGCGCAGGCATAAAAGGACACAGCCATCCGCGCACCGGGCGCTGCCATGCCATCCTCGCAGTCCCCACCATCACGTAGTTGAAACCATCACCACACCCTGCCTCCAATTGCGTCGAACACACTGCCTCCTCCTTGTTCTCCTCATCCTCTCTCCTGGCGCCATACGGCCTGAAATTGTGTTGCGCGTTGTTATCCTTTTAAGAAACAGTCCTACATCATGGCACAGCGCAGCGAAACATGCTGTAGGACAACGAACAATCAGGAAGCAAGGACATTGTGAAGTCCAACGATGATCAGGAACAGGATCAGGATCAGGATCAGGAGAGAAAAATAATGAAACAACACTGTTCGTTGAGGGTACGACGATCGGTCGAAGACGACAAGCGAACAGCGAGAAACACAACAAGCCGGACAGGACTGGTCGAGCCGAACTGCAGTCAGTCTGACAAGCATGACAAGACGCCTTCTCATCACGAGTCCCCCAAATTGGCCACAAAACAAGAAGACAAAAGCACTGGCTCGCTATGACTATGGATTGGCCAGGGGGGGGGGTGTGGCGTGAGCAGAAACAACAGGCATATCAAGCCTACATCAATGTACCAACTGGGGACAAGAAGGAACACGCACAGAGGCAACGACAAACAGCGATGGGGACACAAGCAATGCGGCCATAGAAGGAGGGACGCACGGTCACGAAAGAAAAGGAAGTGGAGTGCTTATTGCGCTGCCGTAGAAAGGCCAAAGAAACAAGAAAAGGAGGCGCAAGTAAATGGAAGGGGAAGGAGGGGGGAATCGATTACCTCATGGGCTGAAGAAGCCACAAAGAGTCAATTTCGAAGGAAAAAAAGATGTGTGTGAGTGAACAAGACAGCCACAGCACACCCAGAAGACGCCGACGAGAAAAGCAGCAAGAGGAATTGTGGGCAGGGCTTGAGACAGTCAACATAGCCAGGAGACGACCACAAAAATGGAGGAGACGGAAGAGATTGGGGGGAGGGGGAAGATGAGAGATGGCCAAAAGACAGGCGGGAAAGTGGTTGGAAAACCACCAAAAGCAACCAATTAGCAGAGCGAAGCAGCAGCCGATGGGCATCGTATAAACACACGAAGAGGGAATGAGAGACAGATAGCAAATTAAGCTAATGCGGGGGCCTAAAACATAAAGGCACCATCCTCATCAGGGGCAGACCCGGTGCTGCCTGGTATGAGAGATGCCTCAGCCGAGCTGGCACGTCACTTCTGGGTTGCAGGCGACGCAGGCGTGCTTGGAGATTGCTGCTGCTGGTTCTGGTTCTGTTGCTGCTGTGGTCCGTGCTTGGCGCGCACCTTGTTGAGCGCAGCTGCAAGCGAGTTGACAAACTTCTTTGTGGTGGTGTCCTTGTCCGCCTCCTTGCTGCTCGGGGGCGACGAGGTCGACGCGCTTGTGGGCGACTTGGTGGTGGGCGTGTGCGCTGGCTGCAGCACGCCAAGATAGGCATCAGACAGAGGCACGCCATCTTCCTCCTGCTGTGCTTGCTCCTCCTGTTGCTGCTGCTGTTGCTCCTCTGCGCCTGGCTCCTGGGCCTGCTGTGCGGGGTGCTGGGCCTGGGCCTGGTGCTCCGCGGCGTTGGCGGCATCGGCATCGTCGTCTTCGGCCGGCACGAGCGCGGGCTCGGCGTCCTGCTCCTCGATGGGAAGCAGGGCCGTCTGCGAGGCAACAGCCTCAGCATCAAGCATCTCCTCGCGCAGCTTTGCGCTGCCGTCCGCGTTGAGCTCGAGCGTGGACAGACCAACAGAGAGGTCTGCAGAGTGCACTGTCTTTTCGACGCGGGCAAAGCCAGGCTCGTCCTCCGGCCGGCGCGGGCGCTCAGTCAGCAGGTTGCGGCCGTCCTTGCCAGCAACTGGGGAGCAGCAGGGCGCAGTCCGTCGTGAGAGGGGGAGTGTTAAGGGGTGAGCATTTGGGTTTGGAGCGCAGTGTGATCGTGGTGGTACGCGCATTGTCCAGACATGCATGGACAGTTGGATCGTGGACGGCTTCATTCAATGGTGGCGGAGAGCAAGAAGTACAATGGGAGAGCAAGAAGTAAAATAAGTGCAAACAGCGATGCGCACCAACCGTAGTTGAAGTCGGCAAAGACATCACACTGCACGGGCGGCGCTGGGGAGTGACACACGGGGCAGTCGGTAAACTCCTTGGAGAAGTACTTGTGGTCGGTGTCATCCGCCTATTGTATGTTGGTTTGGGGGGGGGGGAGTGAGGGATGGAATAGCGTGCGAGGGATGGGATCGCGAACGACAGAATGGGGATGCACATTGCTTTAACATTGAACACAGGGCGCCAGAACTTGACTCTGGCTGTGGGTGGATGGGATGCGTGGCGCATGGCATGTGTCTGGACGTACCAGCGTGGGCACAAACGGCGGGCTGACGCGCTTGTGCAGAACGTCGTCAAAGTCCAGGCCGGAGAAAAACACGTGGCCCTGTGGTTGCGCGCGTGCGTGAATGAGTTAGTGAGGGTGCAAGGTGAGTGTGTGAGTGGGAATGTGTGTGCACGTGGCACAAAGCAGCAGAGTGCGCGCGCGTACCTTGATGCGGTCTGTGTTGATGACGCGCTGGTCCGGGTTGCGCCGCAGGAACATGCGGATGAACGACTGTACGTGTCAAGCAAACACATCGAAGGAAGACAGTGTGAGGATGTGAGGATGTGACGCGAAACGAACAAGCTCATCTTCTCAGCCCACTGGTATAAACATAAACACGCACGCGCACACACAGTTGACAAACCTTTGCGCGGGAGGTGAAGGTCTTGTGGTACTGCACACGTACATACAGGATCTGCACACACATTGAAAACAGGTAGGCGTCGAGTAACGTGGTGGAACATATGTGAGGCGCAGCAAGACGAACACAAACCAGCAGAAAAGAGGACGCACACACACACACACAAAGCACAAAGCACAAAGCACAACACACACACACACACACACACACACAAACGCCGCAACAGACCACGGCAGCAGGAGCAGACACCGCTTACGTTGTCGACCAGCTTCTTGCGGTTTGGATGTGTGAATGGCGGGCGGCCGGCAAGAATATCGTAGGTGAGAGCGCCGAGGCTCCACCAGTCGGCAGCGCAGTTGTGGCCCTCAGCCGTAATCACCTCAGGCGCCCTGGCGAAAATCAACAGCAGGCAGGCAAGCAAGCAGGAAGTGCACGGGTGTGATTGGAGATGAGGACGAGAGTAGAGAAAGATAAAACAAAAAGAAAAAGAAAAGGAGGGCGAGTGCAAACAGCAAACGACTGATGAACACGTGTGTTGCGAGGTCTGAAAACAACAACTGAAAGACGCGTGCGCACAGAAACGTAGGACACACACACACACACACTCTCTCTCTCTTTTGCAAACAACCAAAGCACAGCCGCAGAAACCCCAAAACAGCAACAAGCAAACAATTACGCATACACGGAAGCTGCAGAAGCGAGCACACGGCATACGCACATGTACTCGAGGGTGCCGCAGAATGTGTTTGTCTTGACGTTCTTCGCTTCGAGCTGCTTGCACATGCCAAAGTCTGTGAGCTTGATGTGGCCGTCGCTGGTGAGCATGATGTTCTCTGGCTTGAGGTCGCGGTAGATGACGCCGTGGCTGTGCAGATGCTCCAGCGCAAGCACAAGCTCGGCAATGTACACCCTGGTCACAACAACATGTAGCACAATCATCGTTAGGGCACGCGTGTGTCAGAGGGAACGCGAAACTGCAAAGGCTGAACAAACAAACAAAACAGAGAGACGTAGGCAACGCAAACGCAAGCGCACACACACACACACGCACAAACACACACACACGCACGCACATGCAAACAAACATCCAGATCCACCATCGCGAAGTCTCGGGGGGTAGCAGGGGAGGCTGGACTTACCGAGCTTCTTCTTCAAGCAGAAAGCCCTCAGAGTCCAGAACGCCAAACAACTCTCCGCCTAAGAATGGAAATGTCACAAAGCACGCACAAACAAAACAGAGACAGAATGGCACGATGAAAAGCGTGAGTGGCAGCAAGGAATGAGTGGTGGTTGTTGGTTGCCTAAGCTCGGCAAGCACCGCAAGTGTGGAAGAAGGGCCAAACAAACAAACAAACAAACAAACAAACAAACAAACAAACAAACACACAAGCACACAACCAAACAAACAAATAAACACACAAGCACACAACCAACCAACCAACCAACCAACCAAACAAACAAACAAAACAGGTGAGGTTGATGACGCACCGCCAAGGTAAGGCATGATGAGATAGAGGCGTTCGTCCGTCTGGAAGGCGTACTTGAGGCCGACAATGAAGGGGAACTGCCACGGGTGGAAGTGGGGTGGAAGGTGAGATGAAGGTGTGGTGGGCACCGGGAAACAGGCGCAAGTGTTTGTGCACAGCTCAAGGTGTGGGATGGTTTTGTGTATGAACGCAAACGGGATGGCGTGCACCGGGAAATACACATACGTCAATCTTCTCGAGGATGCTGCGCTCGGCAAGGGCGTGGGCAATGTCCTTCTTCTTTGTCATGACAGACGCCTGACCAATCAAACGCCGCGTGTGTGTTTGTGTCATGTGTGTTTGTGTATTATGTGTTTTCATGTGTTTGTGTATGTTTACGTGATATGTATTTGTGTGTGTATGCGTGTGTGTGTGTGTGCGTGTGAGGAAACTACTGAGCATCCAAACCGAAGGCAGGCTTGGGGCCAGCGGCCACGAACAATAAATGCCAAGAGGCAGGCGAGCGTTGGTGTTCTGCACTGCAGTCGCAAGCAAAGCACCCCGCGGGTCTCCACGTGACACGCAATGAGTGATGCATGCACAGCAGAGCGCACCTTCTTGAGGACTTTGGCAGCGTAGATGGTGCCCTCGTCCCTTCCAGTGCGCTTCCTGACTTGAAACACCTGAGTCAAAAACAAAGCACGCAACAGGAGACGAGCTGCGTGAGTAGACAGGCGCACGAGCTAAAACACAACATGAACTTGATCAACAACGATGATGACAGCTTTTGTTGCACCCATGCATCCCCGTGCTGTTGCACTGCTCACCTTGCCGTAACCGCCGCATCCAATGACACGGAGGAACTTAAAGTCGCTTGCATCCACGGGGTCAACAGCGCCATCGTTGTTGGCGTCGGCATCTGCCTCGAGGGGCTGCTCGGCGGCGCTGTGATCGCCATCAGACAGCTTGGTGCCCTCGTCGGTGGCGCCGGTGGCCTTGGCGGCTGCGTCGGCATCATCCTGCTTGGCAGCCTGGTCCAGGGCGCTGGAAGCCAGGGGGGATGGCCTGTGCGAGTTGACAGTGTGATCAAGCAACGCCATCGTGTGAGCACGGAAGAAGTAGTGCTGTGGGAAACGGAGTACTTCCATCAAGGGCGATGAGCGGCTCGGTTATGCACATCAAACACAAAGGTTGGAGGGGGAGACAGGGCGCGTGCGCTGTGTGTTGTGTGTTGTGTGTTGAACATGAGGCTTGTGCACGTTGGCAGTGTCGACACATGCACCAGCACGATGACATCACGCGAGCCCATTCACGGATACACGCATGCATGCAAGCATGAGAGAGCAAGCGGGACGTTACTTTACTGACGGAGACGAGGGTGTCGCCGGGGTGTGTTGTTTGGCGGCAGCGGTGGTGCTGGCCTTGACGAGCTTGACGAGTGGCGGGGCCATGACCACACCTGAGCGGCCGGGCTTCATGTTCTTCTTGCTCTTCTTGGAAACGTGCTTGGCCTTGTGGTCGTTGCCTTGGGTGGAGCTGAGCGGGCTGCTCTTGTGCTCCGTGGCGGAGCCCATGGGAGCGTGGAAGTGGGAAGCGTCGTGGTGGTCATCATCGTCGCTGTCGTAGTGGTGGTTCTTTGCTGATGGAAGCAGCAGTTCTGGATGCTGGTCCAGCTGGCTCAGGGAGATGCCGAGTCCCTCCTATCACGTACGTGCGTGCATGCGTGCGTGCGTGCGTTCGTGCGTGCGTGCGTGTTAGGTGTAAGGGGCAAGTTTGAGGACGCAACATGCAGACATGCGCACACCATACAGACGTGTGTCGACCGCGTACCATCAATCAACGATCTCGTGCGTGTGTGTGTGTGTGTGAGAGAGAGAGTGTGTGTGTGTGTGCGTGTGTGTGTGTGTGTGTGTGTGCGTGTTCGTATGTGCATGCCAATCAATGAGTTCGTGCTATTGAGG